AGACAAGAATTCCCCAGGGCTAGCTGGCTAAATGGACTAGTCTAACTGGCAAACTCTGGGTTCAATCAGAGTCCTTGCCTCAGTCAATAAGGGGGAAAGGGATCAAGAAGGAAGACACCAATAGCAGAGACAGGTGGCTCTCTGTGAGGTCAAGGTCAACCTGGTCTACAGAGCGAGTTCTGGGACAGCCAGAGCTACAGTGAAACCCTGTCTTGAGGCAAGCAAGCAAACAAACAAACGCATATGCATACACATGCCAAGAAAGAAGAGTGGGGGCAGGGGAAAATAAGAAAAAATAATAGATAAAATAAAAACTGGCTAAGATGCATCTTTTTGCTAAACAAATGACATTTGAACACAATACTTTGAGAAGCAGAAGCAAGTCTTTTTATTAAGCATATTAAAATTCACACGGCGGGGGTGGGGGCTGGAGAGATGACTCTGGTTGAGAGCACTGCCTTGTTCTTCCAATGGTCCTAAGTTCAATTCCTAATAACCACATGGTGGCTCACAGTCATCTGTAATGAGATCTGGTGCCCTCTCCTGCTTGCAGGCATGCATGCAGGCAGAACAACGTGTATATAATAAATACATAAATCTTTAAAAAGTTCACACTAGTAAAATAGGTGGGTGGGGCATACTGGTACCTGTAATCCCAACTCTCAGCAGACTGAGGCAAGTGGGCCATGAGTTTGAAGCCACCTGGGTTACATAGCAAAACTCTCTTTCTCCATACTTATGGACATAGCTCAGTGGTAGTAGATCATTGTCTGGAATGACGTATGAGGAACCTTGGGTTCCATCCTCAGCACTGCAAGGAAGGATGGAAGGAAAGAAGGAAGGAAAGACAGACTAATGGATTAGGGACTGGAGAGGTGGCTCAGTCAATAATGAAGTACCAGCCATACAAGCATAAGAATTTGAGCTCCCAGTACTTAGAAGGCCGAGGCAGGTGAATCTCTGTGAGTTTGGGGCCAGCCTGGTCTAGAAGAGCTAGTTCTAAGACAGGTTCCAAAGCTACAGAGGAACCGGTCTCAAAAAAAAAATCTGAGCTCAAATCCCCAACCCCCTGAAGCTGTTGAGTGCAGAGACAGAAGGGGGATAATCAGAACTTAATCAACGTAGCCTCAGATTCAGTGAGGTGCCCTGTCTCAAGAGGATAAGGCAGAGTGTGACATCATAGGATACCTGATGGTCTATTCTGGCCTTCATGTACTCCCATGGGTGTGCACACCCAAAAATATACACCACACTCATACATATACATACACAAAAAAATAAAATGAGGAAGGCACCCCATGTTTACCTCTAGCCTCCACATACATGTGTGCATACATATACATATGAATATATACACATACTTGAGCATAAAAATAAACTAAAAAGTACGTATATACAAAGCATTCAGATATACTTTAAAGAATTCATATTTTGGGAAAAGAGAACTTTCAAAATTTTTGTAAGAAGGTGAAATGGTTAGTCTTTTTTAAAATTTTTAAAAAATTTTTCTTCTTTTTAAATATTTTTGGTTGTTTTGGTTTTGTTTGGTTTTTTGAGGCAGAGTTTCTCCGTGTAGCCCTGGCTGTCCTGGAACTCACTCTGTAGATCAGGCTGGCCTCGAACTCAGAGATTTGCCTGCTTCTGTCTTCTGAGTGTTGGGATTAAAGGTGTGTGTGACCACCACCCAGCTCTTTCTCTTAAATGTTTTTAGATGTATTTATTTTATGTGTATGAGTGTTTTGTCTGCATGTATATCTGTGTAGAGTGACTGGTGCCCATGAATTCAGAAGAGGGTACCAGCTCCCCTAGAACTGGAGTTAGGGATGCTGTGAGCAGCGATGTGGTGCTGGCAATCAAAATTTCATAGCTGTATACCATGTGTCTTCATCATATCCACCCTGGCTCCCTCCCTCCAACTTGCCCACCACATCCCCAACACATCTCCTGCCCAATTTCATATGTCTTCTCCCTCTTCCCCCACCTTAGTAGCTCCTTGGATCCAATTCGTGCTGCCCGCATGCACATAGATGTGGTCTCATCCACTGAGCCATATGTGTCCCACTAGTGGCCACCCTCAAAGACACGTGACCCTGGCTCAGCTTCTCTAGAGCAAGGCACGCCTGTTTTCATTCCCCTTTCACTGCCATGCAAGTCCTGATCCTGAGAAGATGCCACCTGCTGGAGGCTGGCTGGAGGCCGCTCTGAGAGTCACAGCGTGAAGTCTCACGACCTGCCACACTTGGGCCCTTACAACTTCTCACAACTTCTCATCTCCGTTGTCTTGCGGATTCTCACCGCCACACCCTTTCCTTTAGGATTTTATCTTATTCCTCTCCCCAAGCCTTGAGAGCACAAAATATTGCTGTTTTCTTTTAGCTTTTGAGATAATTTCAGACATACAGAAAGGTGACAGACGAAGTGCAAAGAATACTTGTGGATTTCCAGTTCTGCTACCTCATACTTGCTGTTTGTTTTGTTTAATGTTTCCTCATGAATGCACCTTGTAGTAAAGGGTTGTCCCCTTTCAATTCAATGTATTGCTTGGTTATTTTTATTTTTGTTGCTGTTTGTTATGAGATACGATTTCACTCTGTGAATCAGATTGGTGTGAAACTGACAACATAGCACACGCTGGCCTTGAATTCGTGGTAATCTTCCTGCTTTAGTCTCCTCAGTGTTGGGGTTATAGGTGTGAAGTGCTAACATAGGCTTTCTTCCTTTCTTTGTGTTTTTAAAAATTATAATTGTTGACAGGCAGCGATGGCGAACGTCTTTAATCCCAGCACTTCGGAGTCAGAGGTAGACAGATCTCTGTGAGTTCAAGGCCAGCCTGATCTGGTCTACAGAATGAGTTTTAGGACAGCCAGGGTTACACAGTGAAACTTGGTCTTGAAAAAACATGCAAATTTATAATAGTTTTAAAATTATGTGTGTATACATGTGTGTGTGTGTCTGTGTGTTTGTGTCCAGGATTCATTTCAGAGTCACAGGTTGTATTTTGTGATCATGACCTTTAATCTGGAACATCTCCTCGTTCTATCATGATCTTGGCACTTTTGAAGACTATAGTTGGCATACCTCATACAGTAACCTGTCTGATATTTCCTTGTAAGTAGATTAAAATCATCTATTTTATTCCAAAGGTTCAGGAACATGTTTTGTTTTTTGTTTTTGTTTTTTTTTTCTTTGCTGGACAGCGTTTACTTCCAAGCCCATAATCTTTCTTTGCCACATAGAAATGAGAAATATCTAGCACTTTTTAGGTGGTTTATTGGTTAATTTTCTCATTGCTGCGACCCTCTACCTGACAAAAAGGAACCTTAGGGAAGAAGCATTCACAGTAGCAGGTGCTTTGGGGATATATAGCCCCTTCTGTGAGGGAGGCAGAGCAGCTGTGGCAGTGGGAGCCTGAGGCTGGGAAACAGTTGGGGAACACAGGCAGGCTTTCTCCTTTCCCCCATTTTATTGATCTCCACGCCCCAGTCCTCAGATAAACATTTCACAGACACACCCAGAAGCGTGTCTCCTGGGTCACTCTAAATCCATGGATGATTAACCATCCGTGGAGACTTACTCGTTTGGGAACGTCTCTAAATTAAATTTTCAGATTTGTTTAAGTGATGTGTCTTTGTCAATGCCTCATATAAGGGCCACAAAATGTTTATTTGTCCCATGAATGGCAATGCTAATTTTATTCATTTTTTTTTTGAAGAGTATGGGTCTGGAGAGATCGTTCAGCAATGAAGAGCACCTGCTGCTCCTCAGAGAACCAGAGTCCCATTTCCAGCAACTGCACCAGGACTCACAATAGTCCGGCATGTTTGTTCCAGGGGATCCACCGCCCCCTCCCGGCCTCCATAGGCACCAGGCATTCTTCTAGCACAGACACCCATGCAGGTAAAACACACGTACATATAATACACTAGGGTAATTTTTTAAAAGATTACTTTGTATTCTTTACTACCCAAAACCTTTTCTCCCCCATTTTTACATTTTATGTGTTTTGCCTACATGGATGTGTAAGTAGCCATAGAGGTGCAGAGAATGGCACTCTGGAACAGTCAGGACTTTTAGTCTCTGAGCCATCTTTTCAGCCCCTGGCAGTCTTTTTTCTTTTTCTTTTTTTTTTTTTTTTAAGATTTACTTATCCATATATTTTATGTATATGAGAACTCTTTCTTCACGCACACCAGAAGAAGGAATTTGATCCCACTATAGATGGTTGTGAGCCATCACAAGGTTGCTGGGAATTGAACTCAGTACCAGAGCAGTCAAGTGCTCTTAACCACTGAGCCGTCTCTTCAAACTTCCTGAAAAACTTAAAAAAAAATGCTTTTAATTATATGTCCGTTACTCGTGTGCGTAAGAGGCCCTTGGAAGTCAGAAAGTGTCTGATCCTCTGTGTGTGTGTGTGTGTGTGTGTGTGTGTGTGTGTGTGTGTGTGTGTGATATGTGTGTGCGGGTGCCCTTGGAGGCCAGAAGTGTCTGATCCTCTGGAGCTGGAGTTACAAGAAGTTTTGAGGAGGCTTAGAATCGAACTTGGATCCTTTGCAAGGGCTACAAGCACTCTTAACCGCTGAGCAATCTCTCCAGCCCCTATGTGACAGGGTACATGTAAATATCTTGCTCTTTATTCAGTTTTCACCCAGTTGTTTCGACATTCCGGATCAATTTTCAGTATGTTTTTGTCAAATGGTGATTTTTTTCTTTTTTTTTTTAAAAAATATTACTTTATTGTCTTTCAGATCCTCAGCACACAGTAGGTGGTTCAGACTTTTGATCGAGAATAGATGAATGAATGAATGAATGAATCCCAGATTCCATTGGCCTGACTGGGGGGCGGGGGAGAGGACCACTGCCGCCTCTGTTAGGGGCTTGACTCCTTCAGCCAATCAGAATGTGCTCCCGGTCCGGCTTACGTAGAATGAAGATCTTCTATTGGCTCCGCCTCCGGCTCAGGCACCAATGGACGCGCTGGTAGGCGGGGCTTCCGCGGGCCGGAGGTATAGCTTCGTGGCCCGCGCGCGCGCTTCTCTCCGGCGCGGGCACCGCCGCGGGTCATGGCTTCATCCTCTCTGTTATCCCCGTGGGCTCTGCGGTTGCTGCGCCCCGCGCGTGGCTGCCATCCCCGTCTGCAGTCCTTCCACCTGGCGGCAGTGCGGTGAGTGTGTCGGGGAGCGGGTCCACGGGATCACGGAGTGCGGCGTGGACAGATGTCCTCCCTCCCAGAGCATCTTTCCGGCGCGCAACCGGCCGCCGACGGGAGGGGTGTGGTGGGGCGACGTGGCACCGGGGCACACGTGGAGGTGCGGACGCTTGCCCAGGGGACACCGATCTGCCGCCTCAAGGAAGGATGCGAAGAGGTCGGTCTTTCCCGGACCCTAGCGGCAGCCGGGGTTGCTGCAGTCTGATGAAATCCGCCAGCCGGCTTGCTCCAGGGGTACCGACTTCGCTCCTCCCGAGTGGGTGTGGTTCGCAAGATGCCCGAACCCCGCGGTGGTCCCCGCAGTCCACTTTGTAGCCTGCCAGGTCTAGCCCAGGCGACCTGAGGTGATACACACCCCAGAAGTTGCTGGGGGCTGCTGGAAGTGGGGGTGTATTGTTTTAGGGGAAGCTACGGTGTTGGAGCTTCCGTTCAGCACGTGGACCGCCGTAATGGTCACACCATTCTGAGAGTGTTTATTACCACGTAAACCGTGTGCTTGGAAATTGCCAGAGACGGGCGTGTTGAGATTGCCTCTGAGGTAGAATTACTGCGAGTTCAAAGCCAGCTTGGACAATGTAGTGAGTTGGAGACCAGCCTGGGCTGCAGTGTGAGACACCTCCCTCCCCAATCTCAAAATAACAATTAAAAAAAAGTCACAGTGGTAAATTTCGTATGTGTATTTTATCGTAATTTTTAAAAATTGAAAAAAAAATGAAGCACTCCCCTCATCTCCGATAAAGTAAGTGGACAATTGAAGAAAAAAAAATTTAATGGATATTCCTTCAGGGGATAATTGACTTGTCGATCGTTCTGGACCTCAAACTTCCATTTCTGAGTCTAGGTAGGAGAGACCATGGGGATTGTGAATTCTTCCCCATCTGTGCTTTGCAGTGCTTCTTGGGAGCATTTATACTGCCCGAATCCCGTGTCTTGTAACAGTTGGTTGTTTTCCCACCAACATATCACAGAGTTTGATACTAGAAATTTAGAGTCGGTAAAAACTTCGCCTTCCACAGTGAGACTTTTGTTTCTGTTGAAGGGAAAACAGGTGAGATTTCCACCTGGGGGTAGACATTTCCGGGGGCCCTGCATATTGAAGCATGCCATGCTGGTTTTTTTGGAGAACTTGGAAGGATTTTCCAAGATCTGCTCCTGACCTGCCTCTTTGAACTCCATCTTTCATTTCTCTGTTCTTTCTTTCCTCTTCGGTAGTTCAGGTCGCAAGTGGCTGTGGACCACATATTCAGAGAGCTGGCTAGCTGAAAAGATCCTGTAATTCATTACTCAAAGAACTAGACCAGTTTGCTCCTGCTCCAGGCTTATTCTTGCCTGCTATTCTGAGAAGTGCTGGCTCCTTATCTCTGAAGGCAATCTGTACTAACTGCCCAGCACATAAGATAATTGCAGTGCCCTCTTTGCTGTCCCAGGGTTTCAGGAACATAAACTCCATGGTTGAAGGGAGAGTACTGTAGCCTAGGAGACAGTGGGCGGAGGAGTAAATGAACACGGTGGCAGATGTTTACACTTGAATCTCATTTCGTACTATCTACCATCCATTTTCTCTTCTGTATAAAACAGGCTTTTCATAACAGCCACGAAAACCAACTAACTTATGTAAAGGTGTTGGCAAAATACCTAGCGTTCAATCAGTATTAATCTCCCCCCTTCTCATTACCAGCCCACTAGTTAAGTAGCAGAACTTTTTCCAAAATAAGTTGATTGGGAGTTATAAGCTTCCCTAATACTAATTGACTGGAAAATTACTAACTGTTGGCTTAAGAGGAAAGTAAACATTACTGACTGGGGTATTTGTTTTGACCTTTATTAGACCTCCTCTTTCTGGTCTGTTTTGTTATTTTAATAGGAAAATTTCTAAACATATCTGTAGAAGCATTTAATATCTAAATTAAGTGTACAGATTTAGAATTTAATCTTTTTTTTTTTTTTTTGATTTTTGGGTCCAAGCTCAATGTCAACTCCCTTTCAGCAAGTGACTTGATTTGATTTGACCCATGGCAGAGATGGAGGGCCTTGTCAAATGGCTCATGTTTTACAGGGCTGCAGGAAGTGGTGAAGGTTTAGAATGCAGTTGGATTATAAAACATCGTTACATGTGGCCTAGTTTAGAATGCAGTTGGATTACAAAACATCGTTACATTGTGGCCTGGCTTAGAATGCAGTTGGATTATAAAACATCGTTACATTGTGGCCTGGCTTTGTGTTGCTTTGTCTTTTTATTAATTGGCATAACATCCAGAGCCTCTCTCTGCAGCAGAGATGAGGACCTGAAACACCGGCCTCTCCAGAACCCTGCGTCCTTAACTTCAGCCCATCATTTTCGGTCCAAGTGAACCTCTACTGTTTCCTCTCTGTTTACGGCTTTCCAAAGAAACCTCTTAGGAAATGCAAGCTAAATCCTTCTCACAGAGTACAGTGTACGTGTGTGTGTGTGTGTGTGTGTGTGTGTGTGTGTGTGTAATTCCCTTTTAGCATGTATACATCCTCCTCCTCCTACCCCTTGCAGGGTCTCACGTTCTCAGGCTGGCCTTGGACTAGCTGTGTCAGCTGTAAGTGGACAATGGGGTGGAGCAGAGCGCCAGCTGGGAGGAGGACTCTACCCCAGTCTTGTTACATCCTGTTGCTGTGATATTACCTACAAAAGTGGGAGGTCCAGGCAGCAGGGGCTTTAGGCAAGGAATGACATTACAGCCACAGTTAGGAAACGGAGAGAAAGAAGATACTTGCTACTCAGCTCCTTTTCGACATTTTTTTCCTTTTTTTTCCCTTTGCTTTTGTTTTGTTGTTGTTGTTGTTGTTTGTTTATTTATTTGGAGATAAAGTTTCCCTGTGTGGCCCTGGCTGTCCTTTGTAGATCAGGCTGTCCTCCAACTCAGAGATCCACCTGCCTCTCCCTCCCAAGTGCTGGGATTAAAGGTGTGTGCCCTCACTGCCTGGCTTCTCGGGTTTTTTTCTATCCTAGTCAGGGAATAGTGCCACCCATAGTGGATGGGTTTTCCCATCTCAAGTGAAGCAGTCAAGATGATGGTGCCTCACTGTCGTGTCCAGAGGCCTGTCTGCCAGGAAATTCTAGACTCTTCCAGGTTGACAACACTAGCCATCACGCCATCTTAGCAGAACAGTCCCCGAAAGGGACTAAGCAGTGGCAGGTATTCTGAGGTTTGACCTGCCCAACTCGTGTTTATTGATCTACTAACCACATGATATAGCTTGTATACAACCAGGGCCTCTGAATCATTCTAAACATACATGGGCTTTTATTTCTTGTTATTTCATCAGCAATATATAACAACTGTTCATTGCATTGTGTTAGGTTTATAGACAGTCTACAGATAATTTAAGGGGTGGGGTATGTGTACAGAGATTATGCAAATAGTGCACTATTTTGTATAAGGGACTTGGCCATCTGTAGGCGGAGAAGGCATCTTGGAACCCGTGCTTGAAGAGGGACAGCTGTCCTAGACAGCGCTGTCAAAACTAAAACCCAGTTCGATGGGGCTGGAGAGTTGCTCAGTGGTTAAGAGTACTTGTTCTTGTTCTTGCAGAGGACCCAGGTTCTATTCCCAAGGCCCACATGGCAGCTCACAACTGTCTGTTGTTCTCCAGTTCCCAGGATTGGACCCCCTCTTCTGACCTCCTCAGGCACACACATGGTACAGATACATACATGTAGGCAAATACCGATACATATAAAATAAAACCAAATCTTTTTGAAAAAGAAAAGAAAATCAGTCCAGTACCTGGGAAACATGACCAGATAGTAATACCACCCACCAGCATAATACAAATTTCAAATGGAATATCAATATTTAAGAAAACTGGCTTGCCTCAGAGCAGTAAAGGGTGGGGGCAAGGAAATCCTCACTGAAGTAATAAAACTTTAGGTAGTGATGAGGAGGTGGCACTGAGAGACCCTGGTCTGGAATCTTGCCCGGGCCAGTGCCAGCTGTCAGTAATTTAGACTTCTAAGCTTCCAAGAATTGTTTCAGTTGCTGACCATCCTGAACTGGCCGCAGGTGGCTACCCGTAAATCCGTTTTGAATGACAACTTTTTCCAGTTGGAGCATTCCTCTACTTTTTGTTTTGTTTTGCTTTTTGTTTTTGCAAAGACCCAAGCTATAATTTTGTAACTTTGTCACCTTCTGCAGAAATGAAGCTGTCGTCATTTCTGGAAGGAAACTGGCTCAGCAGATCAAGCAAGAAGTGAGGCAGGAGGTGGAAGAGTGGGTGGCATCGGGCAACAAGCGACCACACCTCAGTGTCATTCTGGTTGGTGACAATCCCGCCAGTCACTCCTATGTTCTCAACAAAACCAGGGCCGCAGCTGAAGTGGGTAAGTGTCGTGTCAGAGCTGATGGCCTGGAGTCTGTCTGAGGTTAAGCCACACTCGTACATGCTTCCTCTTTCCGAGCAGAGCCCTGAGTGATGGCCTACTCCATAATCCCAGCACTTGGTGTGTATGAGTCAGGAGGACCAGGAATTCAAGGCCAGCCTCGGCCACATAGCAAGTCTGAGATCATCCTGTACTATGTGAGACCCTGTCTCCAAAGTCTACAATACAAAACAGAAAACTCATACAACAATTTCAAATCTCAAGCACACAAGACCATATAAAGCTGAATCAAAAACTCTACTGTGGAAAGAACTGGCCCTACTCGATGGCTTTCAGTGAAGGATGGGTTGTCCTGCTGTGTGGCTTCTGGGCCGTAATCTCAGCTCTGTCCGTAGCCTAAATAGTTTGCTGGTGAGCTTGAGCACATTTTACCTTTTCTTCCCCTGAGCAGTAACGGTCTCTGTTGGGTCAGTGAGATGGCTCGCGGGTTGGTCCTTCAGCCCAGCCACATCAGAAGGGAAGGCTCCAGGTGCTCAGACCACACCGATTATCACATGAGCAGACAGGAACATCTGAGCCAGCTGCCTCTAACCTGCTGTCATATGGTGATCTGCAGTGCCTGAAGGACAGAGCCGCAAATCTCCCATCCCCCAAGACCTGAGCCGCTTTAACCCCATGCTTATAAAGCCAATCAGTGAAGAACCCTAAACTCACTTCCTTAGACGTCAGTCATTCCCTTCAGATCTATACCTCAGAGGCCTCTTCATCTTACTGCTCAATCTTTCCCATAATCTTAGACACCCAAGACAGAGATACTCTTTTAAAAGTTGGTGACATTTGTTAACACTTGTTTACTCAGTGCATGTATGTTTACTCTTCCCCTTACATTTTGAATCAGAGACTCTCACTGAACCCAGAGACTGTCTGACCAGAAGGCTTGGAGAATCCTTGGGTCTCATTGCCTAAGCACCAGGTTTAGAGATGTGTGCAGGCGTACCCGTCTTTTACACGGGTACTTGGGCTTAAACTCGGGTCCTCAGCAAGCATGCTAAGCCATTTCTCCCGCTCTCTAGCTGGTATTTCATCTGAGCCTCAGGCTCCTTCCTTGTTTCAGAATGACGTTCTGGAATAAGCACAGAACAATGGGCAGCGAGCCCTGAGCTGGTATTTAGGAGTGTGTGATTAGAAGCTGGGCGAGTCCTGCCGGGCAGTTCCCACGTTAGCTCCCCGGTGGTCACACAGGCGCATTAAGTACTCTGGTGTTCTTTTTTTTTCTCCCCCAGAGAACTTAGCCTTTATTCATCCCCTAAGGGTTTAGAGCTGTGTACTTTGATGTTCTTTTAAGCCTTGCCCTTTCTTACGATAGGAATCAACAGTGAGACAATTGTGAAGCCAGCCTCCATTTCAGAGGAAGAGCTGTTGAATTCAATCAGGAAATTGAACAATGATGAAAACGTAGACGGCCTTCTTGTCCAGCTGCCACTCCCAGGTGAGTTCTGGTCTTCGAAAGAGAAAAGGATTTGGGCTTGAGAGACAGCTTAGTGGTTAAGAGCGCTGGCTGTTCTTCTAGAGAACCTAGCTTCAATTCCCAGCACCCACTTGGTGGCTCACAACTGCCTATAACTCCAGGTACAGGGGATCTGATGCTCTCTTCTGGCCTCCATGGGCACCAGGCACAGAACTGGTATATATACACATGAGCAGGCAAAACATCCATATACATAAAAAATAAAATATTTTTAAAAGGGGGGTTAGTGAATTCTGGGCAGTAGAGGGCCTCTGCTGCTGTTCAGAGTGCTTAAGAAAGTGTTCATCATTGCACTATGTAGCCCAGGCTGGCCTCAGCCTTGCAGCGGTCCTGCCTCAGCTCTCCAAGCGCTGGGTATCTAGTGTGAGTCGTTCCCCGCCTGATAGGGATCTTGATATAGAGGACAGTGGAAGGAAGCTGAGGGGAAAAGTGTATTGACTGTGGTATTTGACTCATGGCTTGGCTTATTGTACATTCATTCTGTGCGTCATGATGTCAGATTAAAAGGGAGTGGGTTCACATAAGAAGCCTGGTACACCGGAGCAGATCAGCCTCTACCCCACACCAGGGACTTGAGGCTACAGCCCTGATTTCTTTTTCAGAACATATCGATGAGAGAAAGATCTGCAATGCCGTCTCTCCTGACAAGGATGTTGATGGCTTTCACGTCATTAACGTGGGGCGAATGTGTCTGGACCAGTATTCCATGCTACCAGCGACCCCGTGGGGCGTGTGGGAGATAATTAAGCGAACTGGTAGGTGTGTGTTTAAGTTGCATTTCTGCTTTAATATTAGGAAATAGCACTGTTAGTTTCGGATTGTTACTTGAGTAAGAGCTATGCAGATATTCTCACATCTGAGTAACTCCAGTGCTGAAACACTCCCAGCCCCACATGCTTCAGGTAGAGCTGGCAGGAAGCCTCAGAGCAGCACTGAGTGGGACCCCAACCCCCAGCCCAGGTTCCCATCCTGCAGGGTCCACCTCCTAGCTGTTGCCTATGATGGCTCTCTCTACTCTACAGCCTGTGGGAGGAAATGTAAGGTTTAACAGTGGTGACAGCAAGGATCCCAAGACATTTTGCAGCTTACAGTGTGCCTTCGCCTGGGTTCTCTGTACCTTCTCTACGACACAGCCACAGCCCAACCTGCCTTACAGACCAGGACTGCTTTTAATGCAGATCTGTATGTGTGGATGAGGCACTTGTTATGGGACTGGCTCCAAAGACATTCAAGTTCTGGGTAAAGCTGGGATGAAGGCAATGAGACATTTTCAGATGTGGCTTTGGTTGTATTGATTCAAAGTTAATATCTGCTGTGTCATTTAATGTATATACACACCCATACACACACACACACACACACACACACACATGCATACATATGTTGCATGTTGTTTATTATTTATTTTTGCAGGCATTCCCACCTTAGGGAAGAACGTGGTTGTAGCTGGCAGGTCAAAAAACGTTGGAATGCCGATTGCAATGTTGCTGCACACTGATGGAGCCCATGAACGGCCTGGAGGTAAGGAGGCTACCTTTCCTGTGGTGTGGACGGCTGCACTGGGTGCCATCAGGGACCCTGGAACTAGGACTGATTTGAGTTCTGAATGAAGCATGGTTCCAGGCAGTTATTAGTTGTCAGCTCTGGCTTAGACAACACTAGAAGCTTTCATACTCAGAACTGATGCCCTACTCTGTGTCCTCTGGGAGGAAAAGACTCTAGGCCCCTGCAGAAGAGCCAATCACGACTGCAGCATGTCATGTCACGGTCCATTGGTTCATCTAAGAAGAAGCTAAGTCAAGAATTACTGTAACAGTGAACTTTGTGACCAAAGCAAAACTGCATTTCCAGGTTTTTTGGGTTTTTTTCTTTTGATTTTTGGTTTTTCAAGACAGATTTTTCTCTGTGTAGCAGCTCTGGTTATCCTGGAACTTGCGTTGTAGACCAGGCTGACCTCAAGCTCATTGAGATCCACCTGCTTCTGCTTCCCATTTAACCTCTGCTGAGATTAAAGGTGTGTGCTGCCATGCCTGACCCCTTTTGTCATTGTTAAAGAGCAAACCTTGAGTAATTCTGGTGATGTTTTGCTTAGAAAACGTAAAACTCCTTAAAGTCTATGAAATGGGAAATGGAATGTATGTGGTTATATATGTATCCAAAGGTTAGAACTGAGGTAGTGCCAGATGCTAAGCCAAGTATTAGTTTTATTTAAATTTTTATTTTATTTGTGTATTTGTAGTATGTGTTCTGCTTGAGTTCTGGGGTTTGGACTCAGCCTGTCAAGGAATGCTTGGCAAACATATTTACTAGCTGACCCATCTCTCTGGCCAATGTAAAGATAAATGCCAATTAGCCATCTAGAAATCGCGCCGAGTCCATGATTTTCGGGAGGTGTTGAGCTTCTGCAGTGCTGTGAGGAGCTGAAACCTCCTCCATCCCAGCCTGGATTTGGAACTCAGGCCTTCTGTTTTTGCCTCTCAGGTGATGCCACAGTTACAATATCTCATCGATACACTCCCAAAGAGCAACTGAAGAAGCACACGGTCCTTGCAGACATTGTGATCTCTGCCGCCGGTGAGAGCTCTAAAGAATGTATACACGGGCTGACTGGCGTGGACATTCGCCTGCTGTCCTGCCCAGCTCTCTTCAGACATGATTCTTTGAGCGGCCTACAAAGGGGGCTGGAGTTGCAGTTGAAATACTTGTACCTGCCACTGTGTTGCAGACTGGAGGAGGGTACCCCTAGCCCCCAGTACTTCCACATGAAGTTTAAGTGGTCCTTAGTTAATGGTATCTGACTATAATGTCCTCTTCTGGCCTCCATGGGCGGGCACTGCAGGCACATGATATATATACATACATTCAGACAAAATTTTTTTTTTCTTCAAGACAAGGTTTCTCTGTGCAACAGCCCTAGCTGTCCTAGAACTAGCTCTTGTAGTTCAGGCTGGTCTCGAACTCACAGAGCTCTGCCTGCCTCTGCCTCCCGAGTGCTGGAATTAAAGGCATGCGCAACCAGCTCCGAGCCTCAGGAAAAGCATTTATATACAGAAAATCTATAAATATAAAATAAATGAAAATCTTTAACTGAAGTCTGTTGCCTGACTGTCACTCTCTGTCGCCAGGCATTCCAAATCTGATCACAGCCGACATGATCAAGGAAGGGGCCGCTGTCATCGACGTGGGCATAAACAGAATTCAGGATCCTGTCACTGCAAAGCCCAAGTTGGTTGGAGATGTAGATTTTGAAGGTACCTAGTGTAATTGTTTTGAGAACATAAATCTATAAATATTTCCTTTCATGGACATTTAGGGCGGATCATTTTCTTTTCACATAGTTTTTGTTTGTTTGGTTTTTTGTTGTTGTTGTTGTTTGTTTTTTTGAGACAGATTTCTCTGTGTAGCCCTAGCTGTTCTAGAACTTGCTCTATAGACCAGGCTGGCCTCGAACTCACAGAGATCTGCCTGCCTCTGCCTCCCAAGTGCTGAGGTTAAAGGTATGTGCTGCCACCTCTGGTTTTTTTCTTATAACTTTTAAGCTTGTGTAATTTTGGTAATGTTTAAAATGCTTTTTAAAAAGTAGTATGATGTGTGTGTATGTGTTCATGTTTACACATGTGTGGGTGCATGTCTGTGGAAGCCTGAGGTTGATCCTAGAAGTCTTCCAGGATCGCTCTCCACCTTCTTCCAAGAGGCACCACCATGCTTGGCTATACGCGTTAAGTTTTTAAAAAATGATGTGTATGTGTATTGTGTATCTGTGTGTTCTATGGGTATGTCTGGTGTGTTTGTGTTATGTGTTTGTCTATGTTGTATGTATGTTATGTCTGTTTTACATGTGTGTATATGGTGTGTGTGTATGTTATATGTCTGTTATACATGTGTGTATGTGGTGTGTGTCTATGTTGTATGTCTGTTTTATGTGTGTGTGTGTATGTGGTCTGTGTATGTTTGTGTGTTATGGTATTTGTGACCTTGGGTGTCTTCAGTTGTTCATAACTTGGAGTGTTTCCTTGGAACTTGCTAGTGTGTCCAGGCTGACTGACCAGCTGCCTCCCAGTACTGGGGTTACAGTCACATGCCACCCCATCTGGCTTTTTCACGTGGGTTCTGAGGCTTGAACTCAGGTCCTCATTTTTACAGCCAATATTTTACAACTGAACTGTTACCCTGCCTTACAGATACTATTTTTCTTAAAATTAAGGGTTTATTTTGTATGTCTGAGTGTTTTGCCTGCATGTGTATGTATGTGCTCCATGTGTGTGCCTGGTGCCCCCAGAGATCAGAAGAGGGTGTCAGATCCCCGGAACTGGAGTTATGGGGGGTTATGAGTCACCAAGCTGTTGCTGGAAACCCAGCAAACCACTTCCTCTGCAAGAGCCGCCGGTACTTGTAACAGCTGAACCATAGATGCTGTCTTTCCTACCCACTTTGAAGCTAATGAAGGCTCTTACATTTCTTATTGTTCTTTCTTTGAATACTTTTTTCATAACATGATAAAGTGCTTGTGAGCTTTGCACACCTATTTGAAGCACCCTGCCTGTCTTGTTTCTCTGCAGGAGTCAAGAAGAAAGCCGGTTACATCACCCCCGTCCCTGGAGGTGTTGGTCCCATGACAGTGGCCATGCTAATGAAGAACACCATTATTGCTGCGAAGAAGGTGCTGAAGCCCGAAGAGCTGGAGGTGCTCAAGGCCAAGCAGCGTGGAGTTGCCACCAACTAGCAGTACTCCATGCCAGTCTGAGAGGCAGCGTGGGCCAAGAGGAATGCAGTATTTTTAATTTATTCTGTTGAAATGGTTTAAAATGATGTTTGTATTTATTGAAAGCTTAGACGGGTGGATGTGTGTGCGCGTGGCTCTGCAGAACCTCACCAGGGTGCCCGCCCATCCGTGTCCTGCCTTTGACCTGATGATGCACGGGAGACATCCTCACCCTGAGAATGGATGCTGAACTTCATCAAAAAAACCTGCCTTGTTAGGTTCTCATTTCCCAAGTGCTATTCCAATTCAAGTTGATGGCTCATCCGAGGTTCCAAGCCTTCTGAGTTCAACTTTCAAACCAAAGGAAAACTTACCAGAGAGAATTAGGGGGAAAGAAGAAATGGCAGCACCGAGTGGAGGATGGCCCCTTGCTTTCTGTCATGCCAGACTGTAACCAGGTTCCTCTGAAGAGAGCTCAGTTGACTGGGCTGGTGGAGGAAAGCCCAGCATTGCTAGCTGTCCTGGGTGGCTGAGTCACCGGGGAAGGTTTGGGATTCCCCCACTTGCTCTTACCCTTCTGTGAGCTTGGCCTATTTCAGTTTTCTAGGATCGAGAAAGATCATTTCATAAATGATGTGTGTGATTGTCGTGTTTGGCTTCTGCGGCAATTTAAACTTTAAATTTCAGACTGTTGGAGAGTATGTGTCTCTTTTCTTTGGCCTAAGCTTTGAGGCCAATTCTTTGAAAAACAAAATTTGGGCGTGATAATCATGAGGGCAGGTTCTGTAAAACCTATTACTTGCCACCAAAGAAATGACAGCAGCTGCCTGTGTCTTTCACGTACCCTGTTGGCTTTCCTGAAGGTACCAAGAGCTTGAGTTAGTATAAGATTTGATCAGATTTTCTTAAAGGATTTTGTTGCTGTTGTTGGGTTCTTTTGTCTTGTTTTTAAATAAAACACATCTGTCTGGTGTGGAATGAGTTTCTGAAATGCTGTCTTCTGTCTCAGTCAGACCTAACCAGTTACTATTTCCTACCCAGTGTTTTGCATTAGCTGTTCCTAGATTATACCCAGTCTATAAGGAGTTGTGAAGAAACCAGCCTAACCCTTATGTATCCCTTTAAGATACATGTAAGTGATTCTGAGTATCTGCTAAACCATTCCCTCCATTCATATACCACTCACTACAAAGGACTTGTTTGCTTGCAAAATTCTCAACACATGTGTATCATGTGTGCAATAGATACACTTATCCCTGCTGTGCAATTGTTTGACAAACTGGAAGGTGCAAGCTGAATTTCCTTCCCTGTGTGTTCTCATGGGTGTTTGGATTTAGACTGAAAGACTCATCCTGATCTAGGCAGCCCATGCAGTGTTGACCTATTTTTCCCTTGTTCTTCTGCCAATGGCTTTATGGTTTATGGCTTACACTTGTGCATTTGTTTGTTTTAATGTATATGAGTATTTGCCTGCAGGTATGTATGTGTGTCATGTGCATGCAGTACTTGTGGAGGCCAGAAGAGGGCCTTAGATCTAGAACTGGAGTTCAGATAGTTGTGAGCCATCCTGGGATGCAAACCCAGGTTCTCTGCAAAAGCCGCAAGTGTCTTTAACCACTGCACCATCTCTCCAGCTCCCTTGCAAGGGATATTTTTATAAGTCAGGTGTGGTACATGCCTGTTGATGTCCTTCAGTCATTAAACATGGCATAAGATAAGCAGACACAATTACATTTTATTGAAGTGCCGTTTACATTAGAAATAGGAAAAATTTCCTAAGTGAATGGAGAAGTCATACACCGACATGTTAAAGGCTACTGAGTTTAAAATGTTCATGTATATACAAACTACAAGTGATGTTTTAAAGTGAAAATTACATAGATCAATTTACACCAACCTTTTAAAAGCCAACTGGCTTCCCAGCTCGTTTGATTAATGAAGCACACTTCCCTCTGACTCTGTAACAATGCTACAGTTTAATCTGGATCAAGGGCTGCTACAGACCAGTGAAGCTTTGAAACTTGGCTGCTGGCTCTCAGGACTGGCACAGAGGAAGATAAGCAGTTTTATCTTGGAATGGGTTTAGATCACCAAAGAACTGGGTTGTCCCCTATTTGGGACCGGGTTCTTCTGACCACTTGCATAAAGTACTAGCTATTACAAACATGAGCTGCCTAACAGGCAATGTTGCTGAGAAATTTGGGCCTTAGCTATTGCAAAATTGTTGTGGGAGGGGAAGGAGGGAACCTACTCAGATGCATCAAAAAGTGGACTCCAGGTTATGAAACCACTGGTGAGTATAAAGGGTTATTTGGTTGACCTAATGCAGCTTAAGAGTTCGGTTAATGAGCACTATTTTGTCTAAAACAATCCACTCTGAGCCAATTGAGGCACATGCCTTTAATCAGTTCCAGAGACAGGTGGAACTCTGAGTTCTGGGGCCAGCCTGGTCTACATAGGGAGTTCCAGGACATCTGAGGGTCCTTAGTGAGTACCTATCTCAAACATAAACAATCCACCGATACACGAGTTCTTCCATGAATAATTTTGGGACTGGCCGTTCAGTGTATGGAAGGCCCAGCCACACTTCTAGAGTCAGGCCTGCTGTACAGAGGTCTCAACTCCAGGCAGAATGAGGTGAAAAGACAACTCAGCCACTTTCCAATGTGCAAGCCTGGAGAACACACTCAGACCTTCAAGGTATTTAGATTTCAATCTAACCTCTAAAAGATACTAAATTGGTAATTATTTTAAGTAGAAGATACAAAGTCAACATATACTTTAAATACAAGTTCACCACTGCCCATGTGTTGTTCTTATAACTTTGGAAAACATTTTTCATTTCAGAAGAAAGGTTATATCTATGCTGGGTGGCATTTTAAGCCATATGTTTCTGTTTTGGGTATTTTAATAACTGCAAAGGGAAGAGGAGAGCTTCATGATTATGTTGGATGTCACGGATAGGCCCACAGTGGACAAGGAAGTGAAGGGCTTGACACATTCTCCCAGCCGGGAGGAGCAGTGCTGGGCTAGAGGGTGGTCTCCCCGCCCACCTTTCTCCCATAGTCCTCAGTGTCTGTGAGGTCAAGGTCAGGCTCCATCTCTATCTTCACCTGTGGCACCATGAAGACTGGACTCCGTGAGTAACTGAAGGCAGGTGAAGCCGGACAAGCGATTTTGAAGTGCAAGGTGATGCTGAGTAAGACAAAGCGGGAAGAAAAATGAGTATCTTGTCTTGGGTTTGTTCAGCAGTAGCCGCAGAACAGGCTCTGGTGGAAAAGTTCTGCCATTGCTTATCAACTTAAAAATATTTTTTGGGTTGGAGAGATGGCTCAGAGGTTAAAAGCACTGACTGAGTTCAATTCCCAGCAACCACATGGTGGCTCGCAACCATCTGTAATAAGATCTGGTGCCCTCTTCTGGCCTGCAGGGACACATGCAAGCAGAATGCCATATACATAATTAATAAATAAATCTTTAAATAAAATAAAATGCTGCTAGTTTAAAAATTTTTTCTGCTTGTGTGCCTGTGCATCACACGCATGCAAGCTTTTTTTTTTTTTTTTTTTTTTTTTTTCAGAAAAACATTACAGGCCAGGGAGCACGCAGGAGGCACAGACAGGTAAATCCGATTTCAAGACCAATCTGGGCTACTTACGTGAGACCTTGTCCCAGAAAAATTATTACATTTCCTTACTTATGGGTGTTTGCAGGGGTGGGGGTGTACAAGAGTGGGTGTCAGGACAATGCAGGAGTTGATTTTCTCCTTCCACCATGTAAGTCTCAGGATCAAACTCAGATCATGGTTTGCTTGTGGTTTTCAAGACAGGATTTCCCTGTGTAGCTCTGGCTGTCCTGGAACTCACTCTTTGAACTCACAGAGATCCTCCTGCCTCTGCCTCTGCCTCCCAAGTGCTGGGATTAAAGATGTGTGCCACCACCTGAATCAGATTGTGTTCTATTTATTTATTTTTCCAGAGGGTAGATCAGGCTGACCTTGAATTCAAAGGGACCCACCCGCCTCTGTCTGCCAATTACTGGGATTAAAGGTGTGGGCCACCATTTATTTCGTTGAACTCAGGTCACCAGGTTTGGTGGCAAGTGCCTTTACCTACTGGGGCCATCTTTCTTTCTGGCCTTTTTTATATATATATAGAGAGAGAGTTTCACATAGTTACAAACTTGTCTTGTAGCTAAGAATGACCTTGAATTCCTGATTCTCCTGCCTCTGCCTCTCACAGAAGCATGGATTTATAGCATCCTTGGACCAAAGTGTCCCCTAGCTTACTGGGCACTTAGCCATCATCACTTAACTGGTTCCAGCCTGTTTTAATCTATTCAAATGGCTGCCAAAGCCAACTTTCTGAATCATAAATCTGGCTGTTCTGTTCTCATTGTTCAAAGGACAGCATCCATATTCCTTAGCATGGCAGAGAGAGCCCGTTTGGTTTGAACTGACCACTTTTCTGGTTTAATTGCCCATCAATCCTTGCATGTGTGCTTCCAAATATTGCCTTAGGCCTGTTTCCATGACCTGGACTGACTTTTCCTCCTCTGCTCTGGCTCAGTCTGTGCATCAGGCAGGTCTTTCGGTCCTGGATAAGGCTACTGAGATCACCAGCTTCTCTGTGTGCCCACGCGTGTTCTCACATGCGTGCTGTGCCTTTGTCTGCAAGTCTCTCTACAACTCCAAGAATGGCACCTCGGGCCTGGCAGGTTTGTAAAAATTTATTTTTTAATAGATATACGTGTTTGCCTACATATACGTCTCTACAGCACATCCTGGTGCCTAGGAGTCCAGAAGAAGGGCTCAGATCCCCCATAACTAGAATGACAAATGGTTCCTAGCTGCAATGTGGACAGTAGGAACCAAACTTGGGTCCTCTGGAAAAGCTGCCAGTGAACTTAACCTGAGGGCCATCTCACCAGCCTTCCATCTCTCAGCCCCATCTCTCTGGCCCATCCATCCCTCTGACCCCCCTCCACCAGCCCCTCTTCCATCTCTCAATCCTCGTCTCTCCAGCCCACCCTTCCCCCTGGCCCCTCCCCCAGCCCTCAGTCCCCACGCCTCCAGCTTTGAAGCATCATTGATGTCCAGTCAAGTCCTGAGCTCTTTGCTTTCTGGAGAGACCCCCTCCTTTACTTCCATCTGCTTTCACAGATTTGGGGAACACCAGCACATATGACAAGTGCCATCTCTAGCTCACCAAATTCTCAGCATGCATGAACTTATTCTGTGGCTCTGTATAATTTAATAGGTTTTCAAAAAATTCCTGTCTTGGTCTAGGCTCTTGCCTGCAGATGGGGTAGAGATCTGATTTAGGGTAAGCTTTTTAAAGTCTTAACTTAAAGATGTATTCTATGGGATCTGATGTCCTCTCTGGCCTCTACAGGCACCCACACACTCTGACACTGTGACACCCAAGCAGCTTGAGTCTTATCCAGGACCTGCTATATGCAAGACTCTCTTCATGCATGATACCTCAGCAAGAGCACCATTGATATGAGGGTTCTTGGCTTCAGAGCCTTGACTATGTCTCTGAAGAAAACTTTTTTTTTTTTTCCTGAGACAGGATTTCATATGACCCAGGCTGGCCTTAACTTGCTCCATAGCACATGATGGCCTTGAACTCTTGATCCTCCTGGCTCTGCTTCCTCCGCGCTGGGACTATAGGCATGTGCCACCATTCTTGATTTCATAAAGCCCTGTGGTTTGAACCAGGGCTGTCTACATGGAAGGCAGGAACAACCACCGAGCTACTCCCTAGTCCTTGTCCTGAATGTTCCTATCTCTACTTAATCTCTCCTTTCTGGTTCCCTTTCCTCAATCCTTCTTCCTACCTGCGGTAACTAACCCCGCTGTTGATCTCCTCCTTAGAGTACCTTGTGCTTTGATCCTTTGTATTTATTCATCCAAGCTTTCAGAAACAGAGAATTAAGCCACGCTTTCACTGTTGTCTATGTTGTTTTCTTTTTTTCTGTGTTTACTTCCAGTATTCTACGCAATATTTTGCAATAAGTTCCTTTCCTAAAGTTGAATTCCTTTTGTGCATTGTAACCATGTTGACGGGAACGAGAACACACATTTATTACGTGATCTGCAGAAGCAGCTTGCTTACCACCTGTCTCCCAGTGGTGGGCCAATAAAGCTGGCCTAACCCCGCAAGTCTTCAGCCTTTGTTTAATCTCTTATCCGATACTCTACCTTACATGAGTCCCTGCCCATAGCCAGGAAGCTACTGGCGGTTTATGGCTGCTGGGGGAGGGAGTCATTTCCCAGTGTGCCCTCTGAGAAGTTGTTCACAGCCCAGTCAATAACACCACACCCACGCACACAAAAAGGAAAAGGACCCAATAGCCTTTACCTTCGATCCAGTTCTGAGCCACTGAAGGAAGAGTCAGAATGAGTAACTCCAACTGGAAGATCTTTTTCCTGCAGGGAGATGGAAATGCCAGCTGTGAGAAGGTCCAGCAGGGTACAGAGGAACATTCTAGCTCTCCTGTACCTCCTCACCAGCTCTGGTTTCTGCTCCTCAACCCTATAGTCAACGCTGCACATGAGGAGTACGGGGGCCTCACAGAGATGGGTGGCGTCAGGCTCAATCCCTCATATGGGGGCTCTTAGCTGGTTAGGAAGAACTGAGGCGTGGGGAGGGCAAGGACTAGAGAGGACAACAGAAATGGGTCAGGAGAGGAAGGAACCTGAAGTGACCTTGTGTTGACCCTCGAGGGTGCGGCTGGATGTGATGGTCACTAAGACCTGTCCTGTCTTTGAGGGAAGTGACAAATCCCACGACAGGAGACTCCAAGGACTGGTTGGGCTGTCTGTCACTAGGCTGTGAAGGACCCAGAAGGGTCTTCAAGAGCAAAAGCTGACCCTGCCTAAGCAAGCTCCCTGTCAGCAGTGGCAGGCAGCTCTGGCTTTCACAGGATGGCAGCCTGATCTCAGGGCTGGAGTCACTCAGATGGTCCTCTACTGGGGAACGCTCAGCCCTGGTGGGGGCTCTCAATCATCACAATTCCAGGAAAATGTGGGGGGCTGAGGGGCCACACCTGGACTGATATGTTTTAAAACAATGAAGGGGAGACCAGCAGAGGCACGGAGTCCAAAGGAAAGTTAGGGATAGGGACCGTGTCTAAAGTGAAGATTGCAGGGTGTTCTTTTATGGGGTGGGGTGGGGTCTCCATAAGTGTGGAGGTCCTGTGCTCAGAGCCAGTCACCTCTATTTCTCCCTAGGACAGGAGTCCTCAGCATCTAAAGCAGTCTGACCACTGAGCTCCAGGGGAAGTTCCCTTGAGGAGTAGATGGAAGATTGGTAGAGAGTAGGAAGGGAGAGAGAGCAGGAGTTTTACTTACTGGCAATGCAGTGGATACCGTTTTGGGGGTCGGATGGGACACTTTCCATGGGGATCTTTATAAGTGAGGGAGGAAGGAACTGGGGCTGGAGAGAAACAGTGGGAAAGCACATAAACATCCACACGACCACTCGGGCTTCCTCACTGAGACGGGAAATCCATACGTGCATAGTGTCAACCACCATTCTCCTTCCACCCAGACCAAATGGTGAGGGCTGTGGCAAACACTCGGCCCACAGAGGCACCATGGCACAGTAACCCACTGTTCTAGAGACCCAGGAGTCAGGAAGGAATTCGGCCAGGAACAGCCCAACCTGCCGTGTAAGCAGTCACTGTGAGTGACTCACACCACAGCGGTGCTGTCTGAAAGGCCCTTGTAAAATGCATGTCTGTGACTCAGATCTCGTTCTTCCACCGAGTATAGATATCATAAAACGCACAAGTGTTTTTTTTTTTTTTTTCTCAGCCCTGGAGTAATTTCTGGCACATGGGAGTATCTCAGGTGTTTGCTGAAAAAGAAAAAGAAAAAAAAAAAAACAAAAAACGAAGCAAGAAAAAGCATTTGTCTTTAAAAGACCGTTGGTGAGGCAGGGCTGGAGAGATGGCTCAGCGGTTAAGATCTCCAGCCGCACTTATGGGAGACTGGAGTTTGGTTTCTAGCACCCACGTTGGGCAGCTCACAGTCACCTGTAACTCCAGCTCCAGGGACCTAACGCTCTCTCCTGGCCCCCACAGGCTCTCACACGCACATAGCCACACACCTACACACTGATACACCCACACACAATTTTAAAATGATAAATCTTAAAATAAAAAGGCGACTGGGCTCTACCCTCCCTTCCTTGCATCCTTCCTTCCTCCACAGACTGGCCTCAGATGCACCATGTGCCTGGGAATGTCCTGAATTTCTGACCCTCCTGTCTCCACCTCCTAAGTGTTGGGGAGACAGGTGTTCATGCCCATGCCTGGCTTACAAGGCACTAGAAACTGAACCCAGGGCTTCATTCATGTGCCCTACCAACTGAGCTATATCCCCAACCCCTTTGTTTTTAGAAATTTATCTTTGCAAGTTCTTTTTGTGAAAAAGGGCACATGAAATAAATTTGAGGGCTCCTTACTCCCAAAGAGGATAGCAGTTAAGGATGAGAAAGCCACCACAGTTAGTGGATGACTTAAGCTTGCTCACCGAGGATTTGCCTGTGAACAATTTTCATTTGCAAATGAAGATGAAGATTGTGGGTTTGAGTCAAATGGGGGAGACTGGGAACTAGGCATGGTATCAGGAAAGGGCATGATCAAAGCAGGAATGGTTTTCTTAATTCTCTCAGACAGTCAGCTGTGTATCCATCTTGGGAGGTCTTGTTCCCTTTGGGGAAGAGCTGTCACCGTTTATAATGAGTGCCTGAATCAGAAGATCTTTCTGCCTAATGTTTTGAGATTTACTGTACAGTGTGGACTAACTTCTTGGCTCTTGAATCCCTGACGGTTTCAGGGCTGAGATGCAAAAGCATGGATGAGGAAAAGGGCAGGTGAGGAAACCAGGTAATTATCCTACCTTCAGGGAAGAGATGTGCCTCTCTCTCTTCCATCCCTAACACCCCACGGGCAGGTCCAAGCCAAGCTTGCTACCAGGGCCACCTACCTGGAGTCTAGGCTGGTTGTGAGTTCCCACTGGACACCCCTCCCGCCAGGCCTGTGCCTTTCTCTGGAGATCCTCCTTACAACTGCTGTCTACGCTGGAGCCCATTCTGCCCCAGGCACTTGCCTTGCTGATGAAAACAGTCCCAAGAACCCACAACAACGGGAGGGTGGATGTGGCTATTACCTGTTCCTAGGCAGGGATGCTCACCAACTTGGACCACCCTGAGGATATTCCCAGGAACAAACGGGTTCTTAACACCCGAGACCAGCACAGATGACATCCCTCCTGCGCCAGGTACTTCTGCAGGCCTCCCAAAGAGCCACCCCTCGCCCTGGCAGAAGGGGAGAGTCTCCCCATCTCTGCCTTCTGCCGAGGCCACTCACCGTCCCCACCTCCTCATCAGTGTTGTCAAGGGCCCCTTTCCTTCTCTTCTTCTTCTTGTCTGTCTCCTGTTTCTCCTTCTCTGGGAGGATGTTGTCAATCCAGGCCAGGTCATGCTGGGAGAAAATCAAGTCCAGGAGCCTGCGAACAATGATAAGGCCCAGGATCTAGGACGGGAAGATGGGCAGAAAGGATGAGTTTTGTGGGAGCTCAGAGAAAACAGTGAGCTTGTGTTTTCTCCTCTGTTGGCTGAATTCAGGAACCATTTGTGGCCAGTGTCTTTGCAGCCCTTCTAATGTCCCCAAGACTAATTAGCCAGCAAGCCCCAGATATCACAGCCTCGCTAGTGTTGGGATTATAGCCAGGGCCACCCTGCCCAGTAGACACTCTCAAGTTCGTGAATCTAGGAGTCTGGCCTCTGCCCATCATGATCTTTTAAAATGCAGCTGTTTGACACGATGAAAAGTTTACTATTATTTTATTTATTTATGTATTTGTTTGTTTACTATTATTATACTTTTATTTCCAACCAGCTTAAAGTTCAACACGGGAGCTTGGCTTTCTGTTTTGTCTCGCTTCTCCAATCCCTTCCCTATTCCACTCGCCTACCCGGGGAGGCGGGGTGACTTTTGCCCTGGAGACAGTATGTGGGTTGTCCCTGCAGAGTCCTGTTACTGTGGCACTCTTCTCGGCTAACTGGCCCTGAACCTCCTGGTGGCCCTGCCCCACCCAGTCCTCCAAGCAGCCCACACTCTCCTCACCATGACCGGGAAGATGATGGCAGCCATGGTTGATTTGAGGATCCAGAGCAGTGCCAGGCAGAGGATCTGCACCAGGGTGAACAGGTGGATCCGGCGAAGGGGCACATGGCGCAGGAAGGCGTGGTCCGGCTGGTGCTTGGCTGGCATGAGGAAAAGCTTACAGCGGTCCCAGAACTGGTGAGAATGTGGCATGGGACTCAACCAGGAGGTCAGACTCCTGGGCCAAAGGCTACATACAGGACTAGGGGAAGTGATGGGCTGGCAGGGCCTCAGACAGGGGACTCCTGACCATGAGAGGCTATTGGTATCAATGCATGTACAACATAGGGCAGGGGCCCTGAGCACTGGATGAAGGAAAGAGTCTGGAGAGCGTGACTAAAGGAACATGACCATAGTCCGTATTTAAGACAAAAGGCAATTAACTGCGGCACAAACTGTCTGGGGACCCATAGTGAGTCAGAACAAAGCAAAAATCTTTTCTTTTATAGAGTAACTTTAGGGAAGTAGGGAGGAAAGGTTTATCGGAGTTAACTTGACCTGCCTCAGTTTCTCCACCTGTAAAATGGGGATCCAAGGACCTAATCACATAGAATGCACATGTAAAGTGCCTAGTGTAGTCATTTTGTTGGCACAGTCGGTGGAAGCGGCATCATTACCATGATCCTCTCATACAACTGGGATTTCTGACTCCAGGACACCTTAGCCTGGGGAGGACCTTACCTGGATGCCATTCAGCGAGGCCACACCCATGTAGAGGAAGACGCCATAGAGCACTGGCATAGGGATGTACTGCAATAAGAACAAAGGTTTGGGCTGGGGAGGGTCCTGGGCTAGTTGGTGATGGACAGCAGTGTTAGCCAACCACAGAGGGTGCTGGAGAGCTGCAGTCTGGAGGAGCAGATCTGAAGCCAGAGGGTGTGAGGGGAACCAGGAGGGTGGAAGAACTCTCCTCCAGCCTGGGTAGCCAAGACAACAAGGCAGCTTCTTTCCAGGACTGGCTGCTTCAGTTGACAGCCACCAAAGGGGCTGGGAACCCCGGTAAGCTGAGCAAGAGCCTGCCTTGCTCTTGGGTAGTCCTGGGAGAACACTTTGGAAGGCACAAAGTTTGATATCAATGCTCATCAACGCTGACCACCCTGAGGTCACCTAACTTATAGGTGGCGTTTGATAATGTTGAGATGGTGGCTAGAGGGATGGCTTGCAGTTAAGAGCACCAGCACCCACACCAGGCGGCTCACAACCACCTGTAACTCCAGCTCCAGGGGATCTCGTGCTCTCTTCTGACCTCCACAGGCATCTGCATTCATACATACACACACACACACACACACACACACACACACACACACACCTGCATAATTTTTAAAAGTAAAATAAATCTTTAAAAGAAAAAGAGTGCCAAGACATCCAAGCAAGGAAGTGATCTCTTTCAAGTTAGACTTTTCAATATTTAACCACTTAAGAAAGATTTGGATCCAGATGTTGTAAAGTTCAATCCCAAGGCATTTGAGCTGAAAGTTAAAAAGGGATTCAGAGGGCCTCTGCAACTTCCTGCTAACCTTGTGAAAAGTGTCCTGATTATAAAACAACATAAAAAGCCAATATGTTAGTGCTGTGCAAACTGCATTCAAAGTATGGGATCTATTCAAAGAAAATCTTAAATAAAAATTAATAAGCCTGTATTATGGCTCATCTTTTTGGGTTTTTCGTTTGTTTTGCTGGGTTTGTCTGTCTGTTTGTTTTGTTTTTCCAAGACAGAGTTTCTCTGTGTAATAGCTCTGCCTGTGCTAGAACTTGCTTCATAGACCATGCTGGCCTTGAACTCAGAGATCTGCCTCCCGAATGCCGAATGCCGGGCTTAAAGGCGTGAGCCACCACCTGCCTGGCATGGCTCATTTTTGTAATTCCAGCATTTAAGAGGCTGGGATGGCAGGACTGTGGAGAGTTTGAGACCAGCCTGGTCCACATCTCAAGTTCTAGGCCACTCAGGGTTACATAGAACAGAAGAACAAGGGCCGTGTGCTGAAGAGATGGCTCCGGGACTTAGAGTGCGTGCTGCTCTTCCAGAGGACCTAAGTTCTGCTCTCAGCGCTCACACCCGCCTATCATTCCAGCTCCAGGGAAATCCAATGCCCTCTGGCTTCGGACTGCGTCCAAAGTGGCATACACTCACACAAACATACACATATACACATAAATAAAAATAAGTCTTTAAAAATTAATCAAAATCAAGAAAACAAGAGATTAGAGGCTTGCAGTGTTAGATCTAAAACTGCCTGGTCTGCAGCGCTGGGATGGGATGAAAATGGAGCCCAAGGGTTTGCGTGTGCTCAGCAAGCCTTGAAAACCCAGCACCCAGAGTCCTGGGAAGTTCCTGACACAGCTTCAGGGCACTTCATCCCTTGTTGCCTCCTCACAGTTGCAGAACCCATGCCAGCAACACCCCAGCCTGCACTTCTGCCTCCTGGGACAGAATTCCCTCAGGCCCCAGTTTTGTGGCTCTTGTGAGAGATGCGAATGTTGAGTCCTGGCTGGAAAGAACTTAATACTTTTGAAATCCTAGCTTTAAAAAAACTACCTTATTTTATTTTTTGTGTGAGTGTATGCCACATGTGTGTGCCCTCAGAGGCCAGAAGAGCTGAGCTGGAGTTCCCGGCATTGGAGTTACAGGTGGTTATGAGCTGCCTGCTGCGGGTGCTGGGATCTAAACTCAAGACCGAGGGAAGAGCAGCAAGTTCTCTTAACTACTGAGTCACCTCTGCAGCCACCAAAGCCTTTATTTATAGGAAGGTGCACAGCTTGATGTGCTCCGGTCCTGATCCCTCACTGCAGATGGAACCCAGTTCCTCACCCGTGCTAGGGAAGCACTGTGCCGCTGGTCCTCATTTCAGTTCTTTTCTTTAGCCTGCTGTGGGCCTGATGCCCTAGACCAAGGACACTGACAGTGTTAGTGCAAGAGCGGATGTCAAAATTAGGAACACAAAAGACTGACCATTATACACAGGGTGAAGTAAGTGTGCCCATAAAAGAATCCATCGCATTGTAAATGGAACGGAAGAATAGAAACCATAGTAGAATTTTCTAGTTCTTTTGTGGTCAATTCAAACATGTAGAAAAAGCTAGCATGGGACGACTGGATTGCTGAGCATGCTCACAGCTGTACTGGAGTCTGAGAGTCCCTGGGAGACAGGAGCTGCTGCCTGCTAAATGCTGAGAGAAATCTTTGGTCACTAAATCACACTCGTTTTAGACTAGTGGATTTATTTGTTTCTTGTTTTTTGTTTTTGTTGTTTTGACACAACCACTTGTCAAACAGTGTCAGGACAGACAGTGATGGTTCTTTGGAGACCTTTTCAGAAAAGCAAATATTCCATGGACATTTAAAATACACTTTGGGGCCAGGGAAATGCACAGTAAGTACAATCTCTTGTTGCTGAGCCCAACAATCCAAGTTCAATCCACAGGACACACGAGGTGACAAGAGAGAACTGTAAGTTGTGCTCCGACCGCCACATGTTGCATACTACACGCTCATGCACAAACACACACACACAAGTGAACACTTAAAAACTGAACGTGGTGCCAAAGTCTGGGGGTACAGCTCAGCGGCAGAGCACTGTCTGGCATTCATGAGACCCTGCATTCCATCCCTAGGACCATAAAATGGCTCTTCTTGGTTTGTTTGTGATCGCATTAGGGCCTTGCACGTGTTAAGCAGACATCCTATCACAGCCCTGCTTCCCTGGGCTTCACTGCCCTGTTTATTTTGTGCCTAGGCCAGCACTGAACTCACTCTGTAGCACATGCTGGCCTTGAACTTGTGACTCGGCTTCATTTTCCCAAGGTACAGGCCTGACTCTTAAAAGTGTGCTTTATTTTACTTGTATTCATTTAATCACCTTTTAAAACATTATATGCTCATTTTAAAAATGATTTATATTTATTTTATGTGTATTAGTGCTTTTTTTGCGTGCATGCATACACGGGCACAACATATATGCCTGGTGTTCACTGAGGCCAGAAGAGGGTATCAGATCCTCTGGAACTGGAGTTACAGATGTTTGTGAGTTGCCGTGTGGGTACTGAGAACAAAACCCAGGTTCTCTGCAAGAGCAACCAATGTTATTAACCACTGAGTCATCTCTCTAGCCTCTATTTGTTTTTTACATTCATTGATTGATTGACTATATGGTGTGTGTGTGTGCGTGTGCGTGCAGATCACTGAGCATATATGAAGGTCAGTGGACAACCTTCTAGGGTCGGTTCTCTCCTTCCACCAGATGGGCAGCCTTAAAGCAGGTACAGGGGCACTCATGAATGATCTTACTGGCCTGCGAAGAACCTCTGTAAAATAACCAATCAGTAGCTGCCCATCTGAGTGTGACCTATGCGTGGACAATGGAGACATTCCTTTGAAGGACCCAGTGGCACACCTACTGCTCAGATGTGCCCAGCATAGATTTTCAAGCCACAAACACTTGCCACGGTGAGTGAATCGGGTGCACCTCAGAACCAGCTGTGTTAAGAGACTAAAAGGTGGAAGGAGGGAATGGCAACAAAAGCGGACTAAGCTTACTAGGAAGGAAAGCCTTGGGAGGCAGAGACGGCTCCTTAAATAAAGCACTTGCCATGTGACACACAAGGTCCCCAGCTTAAACCCCAGTGCCAAGTGAAAAGGCCAAGCGAGGAGGCAAACAGCCATTACCCCAGCGCTGCGGAGGTAGAGACGAGAGGAACCCTTGAGCTTGCTGACCAGCTTAGCCAAATTGTGAGCTCCAGGTTCAGTGGGAGACCCCGACTCCAACACATAAGGCAGAGAAACCAAAGAGAGAGCTTAGGGGTTAAGAACACACACTGCTCCTGCAGAGAACCTGGGTTCAGTTCTCAGCATCCATGTTGGGTGGCTCACAAAGTCCAGGAGAATCTGACACCTCTGGCGTCCATGGGTTGTCTCCATACTCATTCACACACACGGATGCACACATGCACATACGAAATGCATGTGCACACACGACGAAAAATCTTGTGTGGGTATTGACAGATGGAAAGGCCGTTAATAGGCAATTGGATGTGGTTAACAGGAGCAGTGAGGTCTGTCAGGACTACCTTATTCCTGACTGGAAAGCAGCTCTCCTGAGGGACACAACCTTGAATGCACCCCTGATACAGTGTCCTCTAGCTGCTGGGATGTGAGTAAGAAGGGTTTCAAAAATTTGAGGCAAAGTCACTTATGTGCCCAAGGATACACAAGATGGAGAAGTAGAACTTGGGGGTTTCCCTTTGCAAAGTTTGCATTCAAAAAATGGGCAAGGCAAGAAGATTCGGAGTGTGCCCAAACCATGGCAAGGTAGACTGGCTCAGCTCCGGAGATCTTTGACTAAGTCGCAACAGAACACTGCAGAACTCCCTGGGGAAGAATACTCCCCAGAAAGGTGGCAGCGGCTTCTGTAGGGGTGGGGCAGAGCAGACACGACAGCAATAATAATAACAGACCACGTAGCATCACAGAAAACGGTGCGCGATGACACACCCCCGTGGCCTGTTCACATCTTGCCTTTCTTACGGCTTGCAGGCCGGTGGCCCTTGGACTTGTGGGTAATGGGGCAGAGCCTCACCTTTAGAATAGGAGCCAGGAAGACGGAGATGCCTGTCAGGATGAAGACCATGATGCCAGTCACTCTCTGCTCCCTGGCGGAGATGAGCGCACAGTCAGGGGTGACCTGGAAGACACTCAGCAGCCATTCCCAGCCCCTTCAGCTCTTCCACTGGACTTGAAGCTTATCATGTCCAGCACTGTGGACTTGGGGGGTTCCTTAATTGGGCTCTGCCTTGCAGCCCAAGGCCTAGACTTTGTTAGGAAAGGCAGGCAGCACCCGACCTAGGCCAGGACATTTTGAGGAGTGTCAGGGAGATCATTCAGTGTAGTACCTAACAGTTGGGTGTTTGAGCTATGTGGACTTAGGCTGACTCTTGGCTCTGCTATTTATGTGTGGGCATTAGGCAAGGCCAGGAACACTCTGAGCTGACTGTAGAGGAGATAATGGTGGAGGTGCTGCTATTGGGAGGTTGTAAAGGGCTTAGCACCCTGCTTAGGTGTTAATTTCCAACCCCTGGGAATCATAGCTGCTGAAGATATGGGGAAGGAGCCTGGCTACTCGTAGAGGAGGCAGCAGGGGCAGGTGCAAGGAGGCCCTGGCACAACCGGACTGGAGCTGTAGGCTCTGGGCAGCTTGCTTAGGACTCTGCCACGGCTAATCTTGACCACTTCAACCAAGCAAAGGGGTCTCCCTCAAGGCATACCAGGTAGTTCATGTGTCCTAAGGACACAGGAAGTTCCCAGGACAGCCATTTTGGAGAACACCAGGGTCTGACATGGGCCCCAGAGTGGCAGCAGATGGGCTTTGCTGCATGAACCGTTTGGGCCAGACGTGGGCATGAACGGAGAACAAGGAGAAGAACAGAAGCGACAAGCCAGGGATCCAGGCTGGAATCGTGGCTGGGTCCAGGTAGGCTCTCAAGAGTATGGCGGCTAAGCAGGATGTGAACCCATGGGGAGGCCTCTAGAGGGTCTTGGGGAATGATGAAGGGAGGGAGGGCAAGAAGAGGCCCCACAGTGACCCCTGGGCGAGGCTCTAGGGCGGCGGTTCTCAACTTGTGGGCTGCAACCAGACATTTGTGTCATCGTTCCTAACAGCAGCAAGATTACAGTGGTTGAGTAGCGATGAAGGAATTTTATGACTGGGGGGTCACCACAACGTGAGGAATTAAAGGGTCACAGCATGTGGAAGGTTTGAAAGCCATTGTTCTAGAGTGTTAGGGTGTGTGTGTGTGTGTGTGTATGTGTGTGTTACTACTGGGGACTACAAAAATTATCACTTAGAATTATATTTTCTTCTCTTTCCTTCAGAATATTCCTCGAGGGCTGTGGTTTCGGAGGCCACAGGGAAGGCCTTTCTTGCTCAAATACCTAGAGGAAAACTACGTTCTCTTCTCCTGAGCTGTCCATTCCTGGTCAGGTGACTCGTGCCTTGTTCTGTCCTACCTGACTCCCAGGAACTGAGGCTGCTCCCCCGGGGCACTGGTCTCCGTCTCCATCTTGAGGCTGTCGATGTGAGCAATGGAGATGACCGTGGCAGCCACATACCAGGGGAGCCCCGTGAAGGAGCACAGCGCCATGAGGATGCCCACCCAGAACAGGTCCAGATGGTAGCCTGCGGCCTTCTGCAGGACAGTGGGACAGGAGAAGAGTCTGGGAATCTGATCCTTCCCCAAGCAACCATTTGGTGTTCTAGGGCTCCCCCTGCCTTCTGGAGTGTATTCTGAGGGGGCTGCCCCACAGAGACATTCACCCTGGGGGCTTAAGAAGTGTTTGGGCTTCACTATCCCCAAGGCTGGCTTTAGTTGCCACCTTGTCTAAAAAAAATAAGACAGGTACACAAGTTTGGAGAAGAGGGATGCCAGGCTTGGCAAAGCCCCCGAATTTGGTCTCTGGGAAGAAGAGCTCGTGCCCACTGGCCATAGCCTCTCTGTAGTTCTTAGATAAAGGGCTACAGGCTAGAGTGGTCCAGATTAGCTGGGGCAATCAGTGGTGACTGAGCCTTCACAGACTCAAAGGCAAGGAGCGGAGTTCCAGGAATCATGGAAATTCCTCTGCCTCCTGATTTTAGGTCTATATGTGCCTCAGCACTTGTGAGGTGCACAAATTTCACCGTCAGGAGGCACAAGCCAGAGAGACATTTTGAGGTGTATAGGGAGCTTGTGCCCAAGACCCAGCCTGGGCTTGCACCTGGTTCTCAGACCAAGCCACCTTGATTCTGTTCAAGGACACATGTCTCTCACCTAAAGACACCAAAGGTGGACTTAATCCATCTGCCCAAAGTTTGAAAGGAAGAATGCTCTCCTCCATCCCCCCACAACTATGCTCCTGGCTCAGCCTTACCTTCAGCTTGTTCTCCTTCCGGTTGACAATGACAGCGGTGATCTGCTGGTCCATGAAGATCAGAATGGTCACCAGCAGGGCGGGCAGGATGCTCGCAGGGTACACCCACCAAGGGTTCTTCCCAAAGGGGGCAACAAACCAGCCTCGGTCAGGCCGTGTGGGCTGAGTGGAGGAAGTGGAGAGGCCTGATCCTCTCACCCTTGTCCCAGACACTTACCTGCGTCCCCACCCTTCCCATTCTTCTCCTTCCCCACCTGGAGGTACTTTTCAACTACGATATTCATTTCCCCTGTAAAGAGGCTAGGAACCCGCCACTTTAGAGAGAGTTGCAGAGGCAGGTAGGCATGGGAAGGAGCTCAGACACACTGGAAACTACACAGAACATAATGGCTGCAACACCCTGGGAAAACAGGCGAGGATCAGAGGGTGGCCAGGAGGACATATGTAGTTATTGGTCACACAAAGACAAATAGCAAGAATAAGGCCTGGTAGACCAAAGCAACAAATTATCTGATGGGCCTAGTGTTGTATTGTTTTTTTTGTTTTGTTTTTTTTTCTCCTCCGCACCCCCAGTGTTGTATTGTTTTAACTAGGCAAATACATACTACATTTGTTTATGCTGCGGAATACTGCTTTAACTATGTGAAAGTCTGTTACACTTGTTTCTGCTGCCCTTGTTAACAAGGTAAAGGTGTGTTACATTTGTTTATGCTGCATTTGTTTAATTAATTTAAAAAAACGCCTTGCATTCGTTTCCCCTAGCTTGTTTAAAGCACCTGATTGGTCTAATAAAAAGCTGAAGGGCCAACGGCTAGGCCGGAGAGGGATAGGTGGAGCTAGCAGCCAGAAAGAATGAGTATGAGAAGAGAGAAGAGGAGGAGGAGGAGGAAGAGAATGAGGGAGAAAGAGGAGAGAGACGCTCTCGGGGTCAGAGACCAGGCAGCCAGCCAGCCAGACAGACAGACAGACAGACACGAGAAGCAGTGAAAGTAGGACATGCAGAAAGACAGAAAGGTAAAAAGCCTCAAGGCAAAACATAGATGAAGAGAAACAGGATAATTTAAGTTGTGAGAGCTAGCAAGAAATAAGAGCTAAGATAGGTTGAGCATTCATGACTAATAAGAAGATTCTGTGTCTTGATTTGGAAGCTTACTGGTGGCCCCCCCCAAAAAGCCTGTGACAGCCTAGTGCTGCCTCTGCAAAGCCATCTGCCTAAGGAGCTCTGAGGGCTGTCTTAAAAAGTCAAACATCGGAGCCGGGCATTGGTGGTGCACGCCTTTAATCCCAGCACTCGGGAGGCAGAGGCAGGCGGATCTCTGTGAGTTCGAGACCAGCCTGGTCTACAAGAGCTAGTTCTAGGACAGGCTCCAAAGCCACAGAGAATCCCTGTCTCAAAAAAAAAAAGTCAAACATCAGTTCAGACTTGTGTGTCAAGAATGTGTACAGAGGTGGACATTTAAGAGAGAGGTGTGTGTGTACGTGCGCATGTGTGTGTGTGTGCTGTGCATGCGAGCATGCAAGCCCAGAGCAGTATTGTCAGATGTCTCCCTCTGTTGCTCAGCCCTCATCGCCCTGATTCACAGCTCACCATTTGGGCTAGGCTGGCCGGCCAGTGAGCACCCAGACTCAGCCCGTCTCTGCCCTCTGATGCTGGGTGGCCGGCAAACATAGCCATGCCTGGTTTTTGCTGTGGGTGCTGGAGGTTCAAACTCAGATGCTCCTGTCTTCAGAGCAAGGGGTCTTACTTGTGGAGCTGTCCCCCAACTTTCAGAAACCAATGCTTTTATATTAAGGCTAACATGACTTCAAAGGCAGGTTCTAGACATGGATTCCCTATTTTGGTTGGATAGTTGGTACATTTGAGAGGGTTTGTGTTTAGCAGTAAACAAACCATCAATTCTGAATGGGTATTTTTTTTCTCCTTTTTAATTATATTTTGAGACCAGGCATAGTGGTGCACACCTTTAATCCCAGAATTAGGGAGATAGAGGTAGGTGGGACTCTGAATTGGAGACCAGCCTAGTCCACAGAGTGAGTTCCAGGACAGTGAGTATGACACAGAGAAATCCTGTCTCAAAAAAAAAAAAAAAAAAAAAGGAAGAAAGAAAGAAAGAAAAGAAAACCCACACATATACGCAAAATTACATTTTGGATGTGAGTCATGAAAGAAGATGCAAATGAACTGCCTTTCTACTTTTAACTCTACCGGGGATTTTATTTTTTTATTTTTTGGTTTTGGTTGTAGTTTAAGTGCATAAAAATATATTTGATGGTGAAATGTAAAATCAAACAAGGAACTCCACAGCTTCAGAGTGACTAATTTGGCTATATAGAAATCTGTTGAGATGGGTGGACTTTGGAGCTGGCTAATCTTACAGTGTAATTTTTTTCCAAGTTCTTTAAAGTTTTCATAATTTTTAAAAATTGTATCTTATGTGTTTATGTGTGTACATGTGTGGTGGTCAGAGAACAATCTGTGGGAACCGATTCTCTCCTCTACCGCGTGCACCCCAGGGATTGAACTCAGGTTGTCAGCCACGGCAGCAAGCACCTTTACCCATTGAGGCATCTCACCAGCCCCTAATGAACAACTGTTGAATCACGGACCTCAGCTTTAAGCATGCCCAGCATCATGTGGATAGCTCATTAGAGGGTCTGCCTCAGTGTTTCAGATTATACAGGTCTAGGATAGGACTAGGAATCTGTATTAGAGCTGGGCGATGGCGCATGCCTTTAGTCTCAGCTCAGGAGGCACAGGCAGGCTGATCTCTGTGAACTCAAGGCCAGCCTGGTCTACAAAGTGAGTTCCAGGACGTCCAGGACTACCAGGACTATTACACAGAGAAACCCTGTCTCCACAAACAAAAACAAACAAAGAAGGAAGAATTTTTAATTTTTTTCTTTTTCTTTTTTTTCTTTTTTCTTTTTTAATGAGATAAGGTGTCACTCTATAACCTTTTTCCATCCTGAAACTCACTATGTAAACCATGCTGGCCTCAAACTCCCAGAGATCCACCTGCTTCTGACTCCCTTGGCCAAGAGCTGCGACTAAAGGTGAGTGCCACTATGTCGGGCAGAGAATCTGCATTTTTAAGTTCCTTCCTACCTGACCCCAGGAACTAGGGATGCTCCCTCGGGGATACTGGTATCTCTGTCTCCACCCCCAGGAACTGAGGCTGCTCCCCCAGGGCACTGGTCTCTGTCTCCATCTTGAGGCTGTTGATGTGGGTGATGGGGATGACCGTGGCAGCCACATACCAGGGGAGCCCCGTGAAGGAGCACAGGGCCATGAGGATGCCCACCTGTATGTAACACTACGACACTAGTACAGGGGCTGCACTTCCGGGACAACCATCCTAAAGGACCACTTTGGACAGATCTCAGGTGGCCTAGTTTGTTGACGGCCACAGTCCGGGGATCTGAAAGCCTCCCACACAGCGGGAGGCTTCCTCTGGCTTGGAGAGCAGATTCCAGCCTTCCCCACTCTGAAGGTCCACAGGCTCACGTTACTGCACATGTCTGCACCCACCTCTTGAGCGACCACCTCTGGAAGGAACACACACAGGGTCTCTAGGCTGAGAGAGGAAAGTCTGAAGAGCACAAAGGAGAAGCCTGCAAGCAGGAGGCAGGCAGAGTGACTGCCCAGGGCAGGGGGCAAACCTTGATGACGTTAGGCACGTGCAGCTTGGGGGTTTGCAGGCCAAAACAGGCATCGATTCCACAAAACAGCAAAATGGAGAAAACAATGGAAAAGTCAGCCACCAGGGTCCGGACCTGCAGAGAGGAAAGGAGGGAGTGAGTGCGGCTCCTGGCTTGCTGGAAGACTCAGCTCTTGGCAGCAATGAAGAGCAAGGTTAATGGTTGTGTTCAGAAGTCGGCAGGCCTAGGCTTACACTTGGATCAGCAACCTTGGGGATATCCACCATCTATCTCTCTAGGCCTCAGTTTCCTCTCCTGCACAATGGAGATAATATGGCACCACCTTGGAGGCACAAGTGAAAGGTAGCAGTAGAGAGAACTTGGGAGGCTTTGGCCAGAGTGGCAACCCCTGCTGAGGTCACACTCTGATAAAAAAAAAAAAAACAAAAAAAAACTGAGCTTCGCCTCCCAGCATGTGGGTGAGTTGAACTCAGAAGGAAATCCTAGCTCCTCCAACTATGCTGGCAGATTGTTGTACCCCCACCTGGGCTGAGAGGGAGCCCCTCCATTCCATGGAGGACCCTTGACTACTCTCAGATCTGTCTGCTAAGAGTCTCCAGTCTCTTGCTGTTTTCAGAACGCCATTCCTCATCGTGGACCCGCTCTTTGTCCTTTTGGAACCAGTGCCCCCCCCCCCTTGTTGTCTTTTATGTCTCTTTAGAGAAGTGGTTGCCGTCAGGATGGAGCGATAATAGGGGTGCATCCATACCTGTGTTCTAAAAGCACGTGTGGAAAGGAACCCGCAGGGACACGTCACAGCTCAGCATAGCATGCTCACACTGTTAAACCACCTCCCACCTGCCCGAGTGCCCCTGAAGGAGGGCAAGGTTGACATCGGTCAAAACTGACATTTCAGGTGTCTATGGGAGAGAGCCAGGGATGCTAAAGAGACACACAGACATCCAGATCTCAGAGCTGTGACTGAGCGCCTGAGCAGAGGGACGACTGACGGCCCCCTCCGCGCCTCTCTGCACCGCCACTGGCTGGAGCTGAGCTCTGACATTCTGTTTATGGAAACTGCTTGAAGGGCAGAGGTAGACACAGCACACTGACTTTTAACCGCACCCAACCCTTTCTGGCTTGTTATTAAAGCAGCAGGAAACTGGTTAAAATTCGCATAACACAGAGGGGGGAACATATCTCCACCCCACTCACCTGTCCTCACCTGGTCCTACCTTCCACATATACCCACACTGGTTTGGGTTCTGGAAGTCTCTTCCATGACAATCGACACACAGCTTCATACTTTAAAACAATTGTTCGTTTATTTTTACTACTGTCTGCCTGGGCGAACAATGCAGGGTGGGGCGCACAGGCCACAGTGTTCATGTGGAGGTCAGAGAGCAAGATTGAGAATTCAGTGGTTTCTTTATATGGGTTCTGGGATTGGGACCAGTGTGCTGAGCCATCTAACCAACCTTCATGGTTTGAATTACTAATTAAAAGACCCTACTTCCCATATTGGGTCACCTTGCCCGGCCTTAATATATGCGGAGGTGTTTAGTTTTTTTGTTTTTTTGTTTGTTTGTTTTTTGTTTTGTTTTGTTTTTTTAAACTCATTCATGGGGAAGAATTGCAGTCCCCGATCCCCATCACGAATGAGGTTCAATGGGTTACTCGTGCCTGCCGGAGGAGGGTAAGCACATGCTGAGCCAGGCAATGTAGCGCGTGCAGCCCCAGACATCTAAGGGCACCACAGACCTGTTATTGCTCAATCTCGGGTGGCTGAATGCCACTCGTCCCTCTAAGAAGTGAGGTGTTTAGTCTTACTGCAACTTGATAGGCCATGTTTTGTTGATCTCCATAGGAGATATCCTGAACAGAAAGGGAGGAGGAGTGGATTGGGGACTGGGAACAGAGGGAGGATGCGGCAAGGGACTGGAAGGAGGGGAAGGAGGGTAAACTCTGGCCGGGATGTAAAATATATAATTTTTTTTTTTTTAAAAAAGCACCACCTATAGGAGGGGGTTTAAACTGATTTATATTGTCCTTCCTGCTCATTCCAAACCCTAGGGAGTTAGTTTAAAATTCCTTCTATGAACTGCCTCTGCTGTTTGTATTACAGCACTGCCTCCATTTGTGCCAGGGCCTTTAATCCATCGTCACAGTAGGTGGGCTTTGCTGTCCTGCCCTGCCCACCAAGTGTCTCCTGCTCTGTCCCCTTCTGCTTGTGACACCTGCACTCTGATCTCTGTAGTCGAGTGGATCCTTTCTGTGAAAAGAATTTCTAATTTTAAATTGTGTGTGTGTGTGTTTGTGTGTGCACATAAGTGCAGTGCTCATAGAGGCCAGGCAGTTGTGAACGCCTGATTTATGTATTAAGAACTAAACTCAGGGCTTCTGTAAGAGTAATAGATGATCTTAACTGCTGAGCCATCTCTGAATATATGTATTTTTTCATTTTTATTTATTACATTTTTTAAAAAAAAATACCAATCCAATTTTCCACTCCCTCCCGTCCTCCCATTCCCTCTACACACCCTCTCACCCCACCCGCCTCTAATCTTAAGAGAGAGTAAGGCACAGTGCTTTGTGAAAGGTCCAAGGCCCTCCCTACGACATCTAGGCTGAGTATGTATTTTTAAGACAGGGTCTCTCTACGTAACGCTGGCTGTCCTGGAACTCGCTATGTAGACCAGGCTGTCCTGAAACTCACAGAGGTCCACCTGCCTCCTGAGTGCTGGGATGAAAGGTGTGTGCCGCCACACCTTGCTCCATTTTGAGTCTAATAGCTTAAATATATAAGATTGGTGACAGCACAATCGAGAGGCACGGCTTCTTTCCTTATAATCGCAGCATCCAGATCAAAGAATTACTAAGCGAAACAATATGAACGTGGCCATTTTGTCAAATACAGATAATTTCACATGGTCTAACCTAATACAAAGATGGACATAATACCAAACAATGTACTTTCTTTGGTCTTAAGAAATAAAAAGTTTTGGGTGGAGGTGATGTACACCTTTAGTTCCAACACTTGAGAGGCAGAGGCACCATAATCTCCAAGTTAGTGACCAGCCTGGTCTACAGAATGAGTTCCAGGACATCCAGGGTTAAACAAAGAAATTCTGTCTTGAAAAACAAAAACTAAAAAAATTAAATAGGAATAAAAATTTTTCTGGGTGTGGTGGCCAGCCTGGTCTACATAGTAAGTTCTAGGACAGTCAGGGCTGTAGAGAGAGAGACCAGTCTCAGGAAAGAAAGAGAGAGGGGTGGGCAGGCATGAAAGGAGGAAGAGAGGGAGGGAGGGAAAGAGAGAGAATCCTATATTTTGTTGGTATCTTTCGCCCTCGGTGGCATTTTGCTCTCTACAGAAAACTACCGACAATTTTATCCCATTCAATAAAATATAGTTTTGTTTGGTGCAGTTAAAATTTTCACATAAATGGTAACATATTATTGGTAATCTTCTGACACTTTCTCTCTTTTTTAAAGACTTACTTATTTTTATTATGTATGCCTGCACGCCAGATAGATCTCACTAAGATGGCTGTGAGCCACCATGTGGTTGCTGGAAATTGAACCCAGGACCTCTGAAAGAGCAGCCAGTGCTCTTAACCTCTGAGCCATCTCTCCAGCCCCCTGACACTCCCTTTATTTTCTCAACATTATTCTTGTGACATTTTCCCTGGTAGAAAGAGATAGCTATGTATATTAATTGTAACAATGGTTCCAAGATTTTTTCCTGTTTATTTATTTTAAAATTATTTTTATGTGTATAGGTGTTTTGTCTGTGTGTATACGAGTGTACTTCATGTGTGCCTGGTACCCAAGGAAGCCAGAAGAGAATGTTAAATTCCCTGGAACTGAAGTTACCAACAGCTGTGAGCCACCACGTGGGTGCTGAGAACCAAGCCCAGGTCCTCTAAAGAATATCGGTGCCCATAACTATTGAGTCCTTTCTCCAGGCTCTCTGTTTATTTATCTATTGTATTGTAAATTGATTCAGATTAGTCAGCATGGCCCTCCTGCTTTGGAAAGCTGATGCAGGAGAATTGTCATGAGTCTGAGACCAGTGGGACTATAGGCTAACTGAGACCCTGTTTAAAATTAAAAATCAACAACACTGATTACTTTCATTTTTCCCTCCTAGAATCAGTGCTCTTGTGACAAGTGCCACGTGTGAGACTTCCCTGGAGTGCACACCAGGTGTGGAAGTGACGGCCCGAGGACAATGTCATCTTCAGCTCTGTCCTGGGGGCTGTAGCATTCTCCGTCCTACATGGCCTGCGCTCCCGAACAGCGCTTTTCATCTGCAGACCCTGGTATTCAACTCCACTCTCACCGACCTTGTGAGTACCAACCAGGTCAGTCTTGTTTTTCTCCAGGAGGCAACAACCCCCCCCCCCCTTTTTTTTAAGACAGGGTTTCTCTGTAGCTTTGGAGCCTGTCCTGGAATTAGCTCTTGTAGACCAGGCTGGTCTCGAACTCAAAGAAATCCACCTGCCTCTGCCTCCCAAGTGCTGGGATTAAAGGCGTGTGTTACCACCACCCGGTCACTTTGAAAAAAAAGAGTTGGGGAGCTGGAGAGATGGCTCAGCGATTAAGAGCATTGCCTGCTCTTCCAAAGGTCCTGAGTTCAATTCCCGGCAACCACATGGTGGCTCACAACCATCTGTAATGAGGTCTGGTGCCCTCTTCTGGCCTGCAGGCATGCACACAAACAGAATATTGTATACATAATAAATAAATTAATTAATTTTAAAAAAGTGTGTGTGTGTGCATATGTGTGTGTACAAACCACAGCTTGTGTGTGTGGAGGTCACAGGACAGTTTGTGGGAGATGGTTCTCTCCTTCTACTATGTGGGTCCCAGAGATAAAACTTAGGTCACCAGTATTGGTGGAAAGCACCTTTACCTGCTAAGCCATTTCGCTGGTTCCTAGATTTGGTGAAATTTGGGATGACACTAAACTTCAGCAAGAAATGCAATGGCAATGAAAATGTTACTGAAAAAAGGCAAAGAAGAACTTGGTCTATAAGATGATACTTACCATAAAGTGTAGAACTGAGGACTGTGGTACTGTCATCTAAATAAGCCAGTGAAATGGAATAAAAAAAACACACCAGAAGAGACACTGGTATGCAGGAACACATGAGACATGGCGAAGGATGCTTTGCAAAACAGTACAGAAAACAATGGTCTTTAAAGGCAAAAACAAAAACTGGGACAATGAGCCATTTATACAAAACACAAAGCGTCACTATCTCCCATTGTACATCAGGATCGCTTACGATAGATTGCAGAGCAAACACGAAAGGCAAACCAGGCTTTAAGAGATGACACGGGGGCTTCTGCTAGTAGTTTCTGAAAGGGAGATTTGGCTGTTTGATTACAGTAAAACTGAGGAATTCTACCCATCAGCAGCTACCATTAGACAAGTCAGAGAGTGGGAGAGGCTGGGAGAAGAAGGCTCAGCAGTTAAGAGCACTGGCCACTCTTGCTTAGGTTTGGTTCCCAGAACCTACACAGTGGCTCACAACAATCTGTAACTCCAGTTTTATCAGATTTGATGCCCCTTATCTAGTTTCTTTGGACTCTGCATGCATGCGGTGAACATACATACACCCAGACAAAACATTCGCACACATAAATAAAACAAATGAGTCTTAAAAGCAACAAGGAAATTTAAAACGGGCCTAACACGAAGGCTCAGTAGGTGACCTTGAGGACCCGAGTTCTAGTCCCAGGACCCACTTGGTGGGAGGGAAGGAGTGACCCCTACAGATTGTCCTCTGACCTTCATACATGAACCATGGTATGCACACACACAAGTAAAAAAAAAGTAATAGCAAATTTTTAAAAGACTCAAAAGGCCAGTTAATAGAATGGGAACAGGTCTTTGCAACACATACATCACAAGAAAGAGAATACACATCATATAGAAACCAAACTAACAGAAAACATGACAGATTGAAACAGAATATTTCCAAGAACAAAGCCAACTTGGCTATATGGCCCATAAACATATGATAGGGTGTTTTGTTGTTGTTGTTTTACTTTTCGGTCACCAGGGGAAGAAAAGATTTAGAAACACAAGGAGTTTAGAAGCAAAAGGCCAAGAGGAAAGTTGGAAAATGCCAGGTGCTTGATGTAGATGGGCTTTCTGTTATGTGTTATTTTCATTGGTTAATAAAGAGACTGCCTTGGCCCTTTGATAGGACATAAAATTAGGTAGGCGGGGTAAACAGAGCAGAATGTTGGGAAGAGGGCAATGAGGCAGATGCCATGGAGTCAGCCACCAGGTCAGACATGCTGAATCTTTTCCGGTAAGCCACCACCTCGTGGTGCTACACAGATTATTAGAAATGGGTTAATCAAGATGTGAGAGTTAGCCAGTAACTAACTCTCTAGAGATAATGGGACAGGCAGTGCTTAAATGAATACAATTTGTGTGTTTTTATTTCCGGGGCTAAGCTAGCTGTGCAGGAGCCGGGTGGGATGAAAAGCAGGCCCGCCCGCAGCTCCCTCACTACATAGTTAGCCAGCCCTCACTACAGGTGCTGTCACGGGAACCTAGACCGTTCTGCCTCCAAAGTCTTGTTTGCTGTTGTTTGATTTTCAATACTGGAGATTAAATCAAGGGCCTCATCTGGGCATGGTGGCGCATGCCTTTCGTCCTAGCACTTGAGAGACAAAGGCAGGTGGATCTTGTGAGTTCAAGACCAGCCTGATCTACAAAGTAAGTTCCAGGACAGACAGGGCTGTTACACAGAGAAACCCTGTCTCATCTCGAAAAATACCAAAAGAAATCAATCAATCAATCAATCAATCAATCAATCATCTAGGGCCTCCTGCATGATAGATAAGCACTCTGACCCATATTCCTAGCCCTCTTTTTAAAACTTTAGTCTTATTCTTAAACATTTATTTCTGTTATTTCTTATGTGTGTGTGTGTGTGTGTAACTGAATGGTATTATGTGTTGGGGCCTCTGGTGGCAAGGAGAGGGCCTCCTGTCCCCTGGAGCTGGAGTTACAGACAGTTGTAATCACACAATGTGTGTGCTGGGATCTAAACTCAGGTCCGCTAGGAGAGCAGCAAACATTCTTAACTATGGAGCCATCTTTTTAGCCCTTCATTTTCTTTTGAGATAGGATGTATGTTTCCCAGGCTGGCTTTGAATTTATGATCCTCCTGCCTCAGGCTCTATGGAGCTGTGATTACAGACTTGGGCCACTGGACTGGGCAAAGTTTGTGCTCTTAATTTGTATAAATCCCTCAAGTCAGTGCCTCCTTGGTGTCCATCCTTCCAGATAGAGCCCCCTGGAAAGACTGCGTGGGGGTGTGCCTTTAAAAAAAAGTGTGTGTGTGTGCACACGCACGCACACACACACATGCACAAGTGCCATTGGCTCCGCTGTAGAGGTCAGAGAAGGATGTGTGGGAGCAGATTCTCTCCTTTCACTGTGTGGGTCTTGGGGATATAACTCAGGCTGTCAGTGGTAGTGAACCCCTGTACCTGTGGAGCTGTCTCACTGAGCTGAGCCTCCATTAAGAACACCTGGACGGAAGTTCTGCCTACCTGCAGAGGATACTTACCTTGGTAGGAAAGTAGCGGCTGAATTTGAATTTCTTCAGAGTCAAGGTCATGGAGTAAGTCCCGAAGAAAAGGATGAAGGACAAGAGGGCCAGGTCTGGGATGAACCGGCAGGAGTTCCCGAGCAGGCGCCCACCATAGCTCAGACACTCTTTCTTGCTCAGCAGGGACCAGTCCAGCGCTGTGAGGTTAAGGGGGGTGTACTTGGAGAGCAAGCACAGGAGAAAATGGGTCAGGATCCTTCTTTAGGCAGTGTGTCCTCTCTGTGGCCCCGGGTAATCTGAATACCTACCAAACCTTTGAGGGTCCCTAGCCCTCCTCTCCTGTCCATGATGATGCGCTTAGTAGCAGAATGGTGTCCCTGGGGCAGGCTGCTCAAAGGACGACAAGCGAGCAGTTCCCAGGGAGGGTTAGGGACTGTTTCTTCAGTGTGTTCTGAGCTATGTGGTTTTGACAGCAGGAGGAAGGTGTTTTCTCCTTCCTCCCACAGGTCTGTCTCCCATTCCAGGCCAAGAGCCATGGTGCTAGTGGTGCTGCCTTCCTGGAGACAGTATCTCTTCTTTTCTCTGTGTATATCCTCATTGCTTCCTTCTTGGGTCATTTCAACCACTTCCTTCCTTGGTGTCCCAGATGCTAAAATTCAGAGACTGTGAAATAGTGAATAAGTGTTATATATATGAATATTTATATACACATATATATATGTGAATCTATATATTCACTATTTCTCAGTCTCTGAATTTTAGCACATGTATATGTATGTATATATGTGTGTATACACATATATACACGTGTATGCTTTGAAACTGTGAGTTTCACATAAGTGGATTTAAGCAGTTGCAAATAAAAATATTAATTGCATCTGTCTTAAGCGTGCATTCACTCTCCCTCCGTTCTTGACCCACTGCCTCACGCCCCCGCAGCCTTGACTTCCTTGCAGCGATGGACTGTAGCCAGGAACTGGGAGCTGAATAAACCCCTTCTCCCTTAAAGCCGCTTTCTTTGGCCAGGTGTTCTATCACGCTGAGCGGAAGGGCAACTGGGGTCGGGAGTTACTCCAAGCTGTTGTAAGAGGCCTCACACACCTTTCCGCACACTCTTAGAAACCTGGGCCCGCTCTGCTGAGTCGCTAAGGAGTGAAAAAGCAATGCAAAGACACAGACCAAACCATACCCGCTGGTCCATTTGAGGCCAGCTCCCAGCACCTAACCCATAGGCACTGGAGAGTAAGCACTGCCTGGGTCTGCCCTCCTCGAGGTCTTAGACTTGAAGTTTTTGGCTATGTAGTCAACTGAGACGGATATAGACTGAGCCATTGGCTGCCCGTGCAGGGGAATGCAAGCATCCTTGGGGACACTCAAGCATCCAAAGCTGCCCCAAGGCCTACATGCTACCCTTTACCTGGATTATAATTCTGTATCCTTCTATCTACTTAGGCTGGGAGAGGCCTGAAAGCCACCACTTAAACCATTGTCTGGGAAGGCAGACCCACAGGAGACCCTGGAGACTAACAGGAGCCAAGGACAGGTCAAGTTCATGGGGTGGGGGGTAATAAACTTCTGGGTCTGAGAGTGCACCGTTGGATGGGAACTGGGGGTTCCCTGGGAGAAACTAACTACAACCTGTGTGTGTATATAGTCACATTTACCGCCTCTGGGCACGCACACATTGTATTTCTGCATAGAGATGTTGTATGCGGAGGATGCCTTAGAGCAGGGTGCTTACAGTTATGAACTTAAAAGCATTCATGGAGACCAGGTGCTCCTGGGCTTGACACCCCAACTCCTTCCTGACTCCCCACCATAAACAAAAGCCCACGAGCAGTCTGCCCTGATAAGAAAGGGCTTACCAGAGACGTGTTGGTGTTTGGTGCCAGCAGGGCTGAGGCATTGACCGTGGTTGTATTCACTGGAGAAGACACAGAGGACGGGTCAGGGTCAGCGAGTCTTAGACATAGCCTGCAGTCTCCACCAGCTCCCTCTGATCTCAGACTTCACGTCCCCTCTGCTCCCATAAGGGAGGGAGTTGGACAGGCCGCTGTGCCAGTGCAGAACAGCGCATCCTGAGGACCAACAGCCACTTCTAACACTCATCTGAGCAATCTGGTGCTGAGACAGGCTAATGAAGAGTGCGTCTTGTGGGGCCCTGCGGGCGCTGGACACAACTGTGTGCTGCCAGACTTTAAAAAACATTTCAAAGAGCTAGTTCCGTGTCATGCACTACGCCAAACCCTGGGAATGCACTCATTTCTTCCCCAAATCTCCGTGATGTATCCCCATGTTATAGATGAGGCAGCTGAGGCCATGACATTAACTTATCTATTACCTAAGACTTCGGAGCTCATGCTTGGTGCTATGATCCCACCCCAGGCCACTGGGAGAGAAACTATAAGGCTTTCTTTCCACCCAGTTTCCTCCATCTATGGACACTTCTCTTCTCTCCCACCCACTGTCTATGCGCTCTAAGACCAGCTGGACTTGCCAGGGTGTGCCTGATGTCACCTTCTCTAATCTGCCCCTTCAGTGCAAGGCAAGGAAAGTAAACCTGGATCTAGGCCCAGAAGGAGACCAGAAGCTCAAAAGGGCTGCTGGCTGCCAGCTCTTCACTCTGCATCCCTTGCTAAGCACTCCCTTCCCTGACTGAGTCCTTAAGTGTAAGTGGTATCTAACACTCTCTTCAGGTCTGGGAGGGAAGCTGGGGGAGCCATTCACAGCCTTATTTCCCGCTCTCCCTCTCCTATGTCTGGCTTCCCTGACTCATCACCTACAGCGCCAGGCTCCCCAGGTGATGTGGTCACTTATCACAAAGGCTGGCTTTGGAAGACCACTGCTTGCCCACTCTCTGGACTACATGGGTGGAGGGGAGCCTGGCTTCTCCCCTTCCTCCTCCAAGCAGTTCCTCAGTGGCGGGTATGGGGGAAGTGTTGTAGAATACTTGTTTGTTCCTGCTGGCTGGCTACCACCCAGCAATAAGACCCTGATCCTGAGGCCTCACCCAGCCTCTAGCAAGCTGTCCACGGGGCTGGATATGATCACAGAAGTCGGTTGCTTCTCGGCCAGCCGGATCAGTGTTGACCCTAGACAGAACAGTGCCAAGGGCATCGTGTCCTAAAAATCATCCTGAAGAAAGCCTCCTCATGGGAAATCAGGTAATCTATTGCCTCTCCTCACAAGGAAAGACGATGCCCAGTTAACACTATGGACAGAGAAACCAGGCAAGGAGCCCCTGTAGGGACTATTCCTCCTGCTGCTTGAGGGCCCCAGCACCCAGAGTCTTCAGGCCAGACATCTCGATGTCTTCTACTTGGGCTTGTCAATTCTTTTCTAGCAAGAAGTGAAACCCTACAGGAGATGTAAGAGCTATAGTGTGGAAAATTCCAGAAAGGTCCAAGTATCAGATATTGTACAATTCTAGTGTACACAGAGTGGTACTCACTTAAAGTTGAGAGCGGCCAAGTCAGCATTTGCAGCATCCGTAAACAGAATACAAATCAGTTACCATGGGAAAAAAATGAAATAGAAAAAGATAGTGTCCCAAGCAAGCTTGTGTGAGAAAGAGTGTGAGAGAACGGTGGTGTGCCATCGTGAGACTGGCTGTGTAGCTAGGCTGGGAGTACAGAGCAGTTAGTCAGTAGTGGCACACGAACTGGGAACAAAACCCCACCAGTTCCCCACTGCCTTCGTCTGCTAATGTCCAGACTTTTGCCATCTCTTTTCTCCTAATGAACGTGACCTGGTACTGACCTGGCTCATTTATTCTCTGTGGAGAAATCTTGTGGGATTAGTAGTTAATCACAGCAAAGATTTTTCAGACTTGGGGAGGGAGCAACAGAAGCCCTTGGATGGCTTGTCTGTACATAGCCAGCTGGGCTCTGTCCCAGAGTTTTCTAGGCTCAGGTTTGGCGTTGGAGTCTACGGTTCTGTATTTCTGGTAAGTTCCTAGTTGGTGCTGATGCTGCCAGGCTTGGGACCAAGCACTCAGAACCATGAAGACGACTCAAGATAATCAGGTATCCAGGCGAGAATGATGGGAAGTATTCAGAAACAGGCAAGCTTTATGATGCCCTTTGATGCCTACTGACTATGTTCCCCCAGCCCCTGTTCACAGGTCACCCCTAGGTAAACAGATGGTTCACTGAGTAGCTAAAGCTCCTCTCAGGACCCCAGGATTTGGACCATTTCTAAAAAGAGACAAAGATGAATGTTTCTAGAAGGCAGGGTTAGACCCAGTGAGTGGACTGGATCTGAAAAGCGCGCACAGTAAAACCAAGCTTGGTCCCTGAGGCAAGATCCCCACTGTTCTCGTCCCCCACCCCCATCCTGCAGAATCAATAGGGCCTGTGGTAGGACCTCTTTAGGAATCTAGACAAGGACCCGGAGAAAGGGTAAATCTCACCTCTCACTGTTTAAAAGAACAACTGAAAGCTAGAGCTAGAAAAGAGAAAGAAAAGAGAAAAAAAAGCTAGACTTCTTTCCAAAAATCAGCACGATAAGTGGAGGTGTGATACTACCCCTAGCAGGAAGAGCATCTTAGAAAGACACAGGCTGTAGTAGGACCCCATACTTGCAATGCAGAATATCAGCTGATGAGATCAATTTTTTTTTTTTTAAGACAGGATCTCAGTACATAGTCTTGGCTGGTGTGGAAATTCCTATGCAGACCAGGCTGGTCTTGAACTCACCAAAATCTACTTCCTTCTGATTCTCAAGTTCTGGGATTAGAACTGTATGATAATACACCTGGCATGGTCAATTCTTTTGATTATTATCATTATTGTTGTTGTCATTTAGCTAAGAGATTGAGCAATCTAATATCTACTGATTTTCCTACTTATTTGAAAACCTTGCAGGTATCTCTGATAAGCACTGATTACTCTTTACAGTCAGGGTAACTGAGGTTCAATGTGGCTTGGGTGGCCTCTGGGCCTCAGTTTGCTTTCCGCCAGGCCAGTATAGTGGTGCCTGGGTAGATCTTGCACCCTATCCTGCATTCCCTTGGGCCCTCTAGGTTCATCCCGCTAGCCGCTCTTAGGGGCATGGTTCTGACTGTGACGGAGATCCTACTCTGAAGAGGCCTTCACTTTGCAGCTGATGATTTCTTTGGTCAGAAAGCAGCAACACATGAACGGCACTGAGACTTTATTATTAGGTCGGCCAGTTGTTTGCTCCAGTCCACTCGGTGCTGGGGTCCTTTAAATACCGTTGGCACATGCATGCCAGACAGTAGGGGGTTGGTAGCTCTCACGAGCTCTTCCCACTGCAAATTCTTCCCTCAACTCAGCAGCAGCTGGCTTCCTGGATCTTCTCCTCAATTCTCATTCCACATCCTGTGGTCCCAGAGGGTAGATGAGGTCCTTCATGACAATCCCCTCAACCCTCAACTGCCTAGGAGGCTGACTGAGGCCAGTTTCCCCAGTTCTTCCGACAGCATGACTCCACCCTGACTGTAGTAGGGATGTTTGTCCCCTGGGTTGGTCTCGCTTTATAAAGTTTGTAACCACATTGGCCGTGGTATGTTGAGGCAAGTTACCATGTGTTAATGGCACTGGGAGGGATCATCAGATCCCTTGGGCTACCCCAACTTGGGCAGTATTACTGACAGGAATCACCTCCACACCTGCCCCTATTTGGTAAACCATGCCTTACTCTTTCACGAAGTACCCTGCAGCTTCCTGATTATAACCCTGGTTGCTTTGACTACAGCCATGTGTTGGCTATCATCCCCTCAAATTCTTTCCAAAAATTAGGCTCAAGACTCTGCAATTAGCATTGTAAATTTTAAAGCTAGTCTGGGTACCACAACCAAGGCCAGCCTGGGTTACATAGGCAGACCCTGTTTCAATAAACAAAGGCCCAACATTTGCTCCTTCGGGACAGTGAGCACCTGGCTTACAGTCCCTCCAGACGAGCTCCCCTCCTGCACCGAGAGCTGCTGTGGAAGGGGTGGGGAGTAGTGCGCGTCGGGGATTACCTGTGTCAGGAGCGACACACTCGCATCTGTAGGTGGTGATGGAGTCAGGCTTGAAGTCCGTGTTAATGGGATAGTAGCTGAAGGCACCAATCATCTTTTTGATGGCGTCATAGATGAAGATGAAGCTGATGAGGGTGGAGAAGCCCTCTTCAGTGAAGCGGGTGATATACTTGATGATAAAGCTGGCATCTGTGGCCACCAGGATAAGGCACTGGATGGCTGAGTGCAGGCCAATCCAGAGGCGGAACTCCATGTAGTCCAGGCCATTGGCCCTGGATGGCAAAGGGAAGTGAGCGACCTCCTGGCTTTGGCTCCCCAGCCCCAACCAGAGTGGTCCATACCTCCTTTGTAGCACTGATGCCTGTCTAAGGACTGAGGAAGGATTGGACAGGGACAATTCCTGGGTTGGGCTGCCTGATCTCTCTCTCTCTCTCTCTCTCTCTCTCTCTCTCTCTCTCTCTCTGTGTGTGTGTGTGTGTGTGTGTGTGTGTTTATGTGTGTTGCATGTGCGTGTATTTGTGGGTTTGTGTGTATGTTGGTGCACATGTGTGGATAACTCCAGGTAGAGAGTAAAGGAAAAGGGTCTACTCAGCACCCCTGAAGCCGGGTTCTCATAACAAAGGAGATTTGTTCACCCCAGAGGGACAGAGGACAGGGAGTAAGAGACAAAGACAGGAGACAGAGGACAGGAGAGAAGGGGAAGGGAACAAGGGAGAGGGAGCAGGGATATTTGTCTCAGGGCAGGGTAGACAGACAGAGGACTGCCTCTGGCTAGAGAGGAGACAGACATGGCCCACAGGCAAATGGTGTTATATAAAGATAAAGGGGGAAACCCCGCATTCAGGTGAGGTGTTTAATTTTAATTGGGCATGTTAACTAGGTGAGCCAATGTGGGCTTCTGATTGCTGGGCTTCCATACTTTGATAGCTGGATCTTGGTAGTCAGCCTCAGGAGGACAAAGTGGTTAATAAGGGACTAGGCTTGGGTGGCTAGTCTCAGGTATGTAATCTACTGGATTTTACCAAGGTGGAGAGAATGGGAGAGAAGGGTAAGGCCTGCCAGAGCCGTGCTCACAGTGCTTGAGCTGGCCAGAGTCTGTCCCTTCAGGGAGTGCCAGGCAGCCACCCATCTCCACCCCCAAGCTTCAGGATTGTAAGCACGTGACACCAGATTTTATGTGTGGGTGACTTCTGGGGACTGAACTCAGGTCCTCATGCTTATGGGACAAGCACTTTACTGACTGAGCCACCTCCCCAGTCCTGGGGTGCCTGGGGTGGTCCTAGGACAAGACCTCTCTAAGTGTCAGGAAGCTGCTAAGACCTTGGTGCTTGGAGTAGGTTTTAAGCTGAATGGTCTGGAGCCACCTTAGGAAATGGTCCAGCCCAAATCTGTAAGGCACCTGTCCAAGACTCTGTTTCTACCACACTGACTTTCCAGTGAGCAGTGACGTGGCCTGGCTTGCTCCCTAAGTGCTAGTCGGCACTCAGATGCCTTCAAGGCAGCTTATAGGAATCAGAAGAAAACACCCAACAAGTACAGCTCAAGATGCCCCTCCTCACACGGCCCCTCCATCCTCCTATCCCTCAACTCCCCAACTCAGCCTGGACCTATGCTCCACCCTCGCCTTAGCTGACTGCCTCAAAGAGTAGGCATGGAGCCTACCATGTGGTACCTACTTGCTGAAGTCAAAGAGGAGCTTCTCGAAGATGAGAATGGGTCCCGTGCTGCTGAGGATGATGAGGGGCTGCCCCGAGAAGAGGCAGAACAAGGCACCAGCCATGGCAGTGCCCAGGAAGCTCTCCATTACTCCCTGTCACGTGAGAAAGCAGGAGGTTCAGAGAGGCAGAAGAGGCTGTGGTGTGGCAGTTTTCCGTGAAACTGAAACCTTCTATCGTGGAGGGAAACTCATCAGGATGCAGGAGTTTTACAGGGGGGGTAAAACAACCCATTGTAAAGGGAGGTGAAGCTTTCCATCCTGCAGGGAAGCTCCTCAAGTTCAGAAAACAAACAACTCAATGGCTTCAGGAAGTCCCTGAATCTGAACAGACACATTAGCTAGTCCCGCACCATGCAGACATCAAGTATAAGGCCTGCTGAGTGATACTCTCACACTGAGCCGCCTGCAGGAGACTCAGGACAATCGAGCCACCCAGAAAAGACACTCTTCACCCTGTCGAGCTGCTGCAGGCTATGCAGTGTGCACTCCAGGTTTCCAGCTTTTGTGTGCTATCACCCTTGCTGGGGTTGGCTTTGGTGGTACGGCCTGATCTGAGCTATTTCTGTCCCTGCTACATATGGCGATCCCTGCAACCTTGGTGCGGGGAATACAAACTGAAACTCTTCATGGCCACCAGGTGGTAGTAAATCTGACTGATGTTTGCTGGTCTGAGTGCCTGCTCACCTGGTAATTGTCCGTGGCATCCCCCAGAAGCCCGCCGAAGGTGATGGCGTTGGTGATACAGCCCAGGTAGATGAACAGGACTGCGGAGATGGACTGGATGTGGAAGCCGTCATAGAAGTCACTTGGGAACCAGGGCAGCTTCCGCTTGACGTCCAGGCGTAGTCCCCCAAAGAACCTGCTTGAGACAGGCAGGAGACGGCTTTCCTCTACAGACACCAGGAGGGGCAGGAGTGACCCAAAGGCCCCATGGAGTCTGGGGTGAGGAGCAGGGGTGGATAGAGCTACAGTCTTTCTACCAGAGCACTGAGGACCAGACATGACTCTTGTCAGTCTGGAAGTTTGCAGTCAGCACCTCCATAATGGGGAGGCTGGAGCTGGACGCAAACTGTTCAAGAGAAGGACGTGCTGATGGGAATATCCCACCGTGACGGTCTTCCATATAATACATAAGGGCCAGTGTTAACTGCCAACTCCACAGACTCTAGAATCATTTGGGAGATGGGTCTCCGGGTATGCCTGTTGGGGATTGTTTTGACTTTGCCAACTGATCTGGAAGACTTGTCTTGACTGAGGGAGAGGCTACTCCCTGGCAGCAGATCTGGGACTGAATTAAACGGGAAAAGCAAGATGGGAACGAACATGTATTTACTGTTTTGCTGCCTGGCTGTGGCTGCAATGTGACCAGTTCTCTTAAGCTCGTGCGGCTTTGACTTCCCCAGCGTGATGGATGAGCTGCAACCTGAATTTCAAACCAGAACAAACCCTTCCTCCTTTACGTCGCTCTTGTCAGAGTGCTTTTCACAGTGAGGAACTAAGACACAGTCCACAACTCTATTCCCAAAGTCATTGTTCTAAGGCACAGAGCCTTGTCCTAAATCTCAGCCAACTGGGGCGACTCCAGAAGCAGTCAAAGACCAGAACAGTTTTCTTTTGTTCCCCTCAAAGAAGAGAAAAACGAAGCCTTCAAATAATACTAAGATTTTAAAACAAACTGTTACATATTGGATTGTACTTCTTTTAAAAAGATGCATTAAACCTTCAACCCCTGGTGCCTGTGACTACGATTTTATTTGGAAAGCCTTCGGATTGGGAATGTAGCTCGGTGGGTAGAGTGCTTGTCTCCTGTGCATGAAGCCCTGGATTGTAACCCAAACATGGTGGTGCCTGTGAGTTCAGCTCAGTAGAGGATGGCTTAGGGGCATCATCAGTTCTAGGTCATCCTCAGCTGTAGCAAGCTTGAGGCCAGCTTGGGTTACATGAGACTACAAAAAAAGGGGAGGGGTTGCTGATATAGTTAAGTTACAATGAAGCTGTGAAGAGTGGGCTCTGAGTCAGCTGTTAGAGAAACAGGGCAATACTACCCTAGCACACACCCGGGGTCTCGGAAAGTCATGTAACAACACAGACAAAAACTGGGGGATGCAACTGCCAAGCTAAGGACTGCCATAAGACTCTCGGCTGCCTTTAGAACCCCAAGGAGGCTCTACCCATAAGCCCAAAGGCAGTGATGCCCTGCTGGTATCTTTATTTAGAGGCCAGGGTTGAGACAGGGTCCCACATTACAACCCAGGCCTGGAATTTGCAGGTAGGGTCCTCCATGGCCCTGCTCCTCGCTGACATCTCCATTTCTACCTGTGTGAAAATGGACTTCAGTAGTTTTACATTAACTTATTTGTGGTACACTGTTTCCGACACGGGTACCAAAGGATGTCTAGAGAAGAGTTTGGGCTCCTTCTTTTTGGGCGGGGTCTTTCTGTTCCTCTCACCCCACACAACTCTTCTCAAGACCCAAGAGGGGCTTCGCTAGAGTTCGGGAAGACTGCAGTGGTCAGACCCCGTCCCTAGAAGGCGCTGCACACAGCAGCGGAAGGATCGCTAACAGGACCGGAGGAAGAGAGGGTTCAAGACTGCAGGCTCTCTGCCGGGCATGGAGCGGGCACCTTCCGGTCCAGATCAGCTCCTCCCCGATTTCATGCACAGCTGGCATCTCAGCCTCGTCTCCACTGCCCACTCCGCCGGCCCCGCTGCCTCCTGCCCCTCCGCCACCGCCACCTCCTCCAGCCGAGGCACCGCCTCCGCCCGCAGAGCCGTTCATCTGGCCCAGCTCTGCCAAAGAGAATACAGATTTCCTGAAAGAGAAAGTTGGGGATGGGGGAGAGCAGGGCTCTCAATGCTGGTAAGGGCCCAGCCCCTCAAGACTGTGCCCTTCCCCTCCAACAACAACAACAAAACTTTAATATCTTAAATAGCAGGGGACGTGAAGACGGAGGTGGGGAGATGGCTCAGTTATTAAAGCATTTGCCACCCAAACAAGAGGACAAGAACTGGGATTCCCAGAAGCCATGTGCAAATCAGGTGGACAAGGCAGCCACTTGTAATTCCAGCACAGAGGAACCCCAGAATGAACAAGACTTGCCAAATCTGCCAGCGCTGGGTTCACTGAGAGACTGCCTCAAGGCGTAAGGTGGAGAGCAATGAAGAAAAACTCCCAGGGCAACCTCAGGCTTCCACATAGACACCCACACATATTCAAGCATGAATAATGATTCAATAATACCCCTCCCCCTACACGGACTCCCACCCGGCTTTACAGTTGTTCACAAGTGGCCCTGCTGGCTTCTGATTTCTCACGAAGAGAATAAACCGCTGATGTGGAGCGCCCTCTGTTGTTCACATCCTTAGCACACACCTCTTGTCAGCTGAGGGAACTTTCTTGGGTGGCTCAATTCTGATGTTTGGATCCCATTCTCCAGGGGGAAGGACAATGACCTCATCTAGAAATTCATCAATTCCTGCAATGAGATCTTCTCGGTTCCGGGCTTTATAAGCCACGTCGCTGAAGAGCTGGTGAGGGATGAGGAAGGAGAAAGAGGGCTCAGCTCTCCCCTCCTTGGAGTGAGCACATTTCAACTATGTTTAAAGGTAGATAAGGACAAATGGCAGTAGGGGAAATAGAGGACAATAGGAAAGAACCAGTTTTTGGAATGGGCAGTCATCTCAGATCTGAAACCCAGGTTGCTGTAATATTTTAGAGGTAGGCAAGTATAGGGAATATGCTTTTCTTTCTTTCTTTCTTTCTTTCTTTCTTTCTTTCTTTCTTTCTTTCTTTCCTTTCTTCCTCCCTCTCTCTCTCTCTCCCTCCCTCCCTTTCTCTCTTTATGTATGTATGTATGTATGTATGTATGTATGTATGTATTTATTTATTTCAAGACAGGGTTTCTCTGTGTAGCCCTGGCTGTCCCGGAACTTTCACTGTAGACTGTAGCTCGCCTTGAACTCACAGAGATTCGCCTGACTCTGCCTCCCGAGTGCTGGGATTAAAAACATGCGCCACCACTGCCCAGCACACTTAGTATTAATAGTACATTCGGCAGTCTAGGACCTTTACTTGCATATACTACGCACACATACCCCTTTTCGCAATGCACCTAGCAGCTTATTAGCTACATAGGGTCCCCATGTGCCCTGAGTCGTACACACTCTCCACTCCGAACGATGGAATTGTCTCTTCCCCTTAACAGCCACTAAACACAGATGGAGTCTGTTCAGGGGTTCTCTCCTTGTGTGAGGGTAAGAAAGTAGGGAGATCCATCTGGCCTGAACTGGTTTTGTGTAATTAGTCAAACTGCCCTCCAAGAGAACTTTTAGGCAGACTCCTCTACTTACACCTATGCAAAGATGGGTGTGCATATAATCAAAATCAGACATGTTCTGGGAAGGGACATTCATGACAGGAAAATGATTGTGCAATTTAATCTGTCACTTAAAACATCCACCCAGACTACATCCCTCTTCTCTTGAATACCATACAAAGAAGGCCCCAACAATAACGGGGGTCCCTGAGTACCCTCATTCATGTGCCACTGTTACTCTTGACGGTGTGCCCGACCTGTCCTATTGCTTTGCTTTGAACTGAGTCTCCCTGCTGCATCTGCAAATCTTTGTGCAGCTTTATCTCAAGTCTTTGAGTAAGAGCCAATGAGTCTGGATGCACCTGGCCTAGACGCCGACCCTGGTAACACCTCTGCAGGATTTTTGTTGCGTTCTTTGACCTTGCATTTCTGTTTCTACAGAGCAAGCATATGAGAAAACCTCTCCAGAGCCAAGACTGTCCCACTAGGAGGGCCAGGTTACAGAGAGACAGGTTTGCTGGGTTTGTTGGTGTTTAAAGACCTCTAGCCTCCCGTCACTCTGGAGACAGAGCAGGACCTTAGGCTCATCTCCTGGGGTTGCCCTCGGGAGCTCGCACACCGAGCTTATGCTGCTGTCCCTCCATTCAGCTTCTCTGAGCCTTCATCACTTCCCTTGTCCAGAAGGCTAGCATCCCAAGGTCTTGCTGGTCTACCTGCTCACCCTTGGTTTTTTTGTCTGCAGTGTGTGTCTCAGTTTCCCCAGGCAGCTAATGCATGATTGATTTTATTTTTATCATTTATAATAATATAATAATAATTTCATTATTACAGATCTGTCCCTCTCACTGGATAGTGCTCCTTCATGAGAGGGTCTGGGTCTCTTCCCTGAGTCTCATGATCCTTAGGTCCCTGGTGCACAGCAGGGGCCAGCTGTGCTGGTGATGCTGGGGAGTAGGGGAGGCTGTGCCAGTTCCACAGCTATGAGCACTCAGTGCCTGCTTCATATTCTCACTTACATCATCCACCATGAGGGTTGCAATGGCTCGGCCAATCTCATTATAGGACTTTGCTCTCCCAGAAGGTCCTAGAAGAATGAACAGAAACCTGCAAAAAAAAAAAAAAATGGAGGAGGAAGAACAAAGAGGGAAAAATAGAAACAAATGAAGAGAAGAATTATTTGGCCTTCAATGTCTCCATTATTAACTTTTTAACTTCCCTCTTTTGAATCTTTTAAAACTAATCATTATCATTATTATATTTAATTATGTGAACGTCTGTAGGGAGGTATGTGCACCCAAGTGCAGTGCCTGCTGAGGCCAGAAGGGGGCACTGAATCCCCTGAACTGGAGTTTTTGAACAGGTGATCTTTAGCCACTCAACATGGGTGCTGGGAACTGAACTCAGGTCCTCTGCAAGAGCAGCAGGTGCCATTAGCCATTGAGTCATCGCTCCACCTCCTTTTACTGGTTTGTTTGTTTGTTTGTTTGTTTGTTGAGTTTTTCAGACAGGGTCTCACATAACCCAGGCTCAAACTCTTTATGTAGTCAAGGATGACTTTGAACTCCTGATCCTCCTGCCTCTACCAAGTACTAGGATTATAGGCAAGTGCTGCCATACCTGGCTCTTCCTTTTGACATTTATTTAGTTAGCTAGTTATTGCGTGTGTACGTGTGTATGCATGCACACACACACATGCACATGCCATGGCACACACGCCACAGCAAACGTGGATGTATAGAAGACAATTTTCAGGACTTAGTTCTCTCCTTTCATCGTGTGATCTCCCAGGATTAAACTCAGATTGTCTGGCTTGGTGACAAATGCCTTTACCCACCAGCTCATCTCACCAGCTCACCTAATCAGATCACCAGCTTACCTGATCAGATCACCAGCTCACCAGATCAGATCACCATCTCACCAGCTCAGCTTACCAGCTAACCAGATCAGCTCACCAGCTCACCAGATCAGCTCACCAGCTCACCAGATCAGCTCACCAGCTCACCAGATCAGATCACCAGCTCACCAGATCAGCTCACCAGCTAACCAGATCAGCTCACCAGCTCACCAGATCAGCTCACCAGCTAACCAGATCAGATCACCCGCTCACCAGATCAGCTCACTAGATCAGCTCACCAGATCAGCTCATCAGCTCACCAGATCAGCTCACCAGATCAGCTCACCAGCTCACCAGATCAGCTCACTAGCTCACCAGCTCAGCTCACCAGATCAGCTCACCAGCTCACCAGCTCAGTTCACCAGATCAGCACTTTCCTTTTACTACTTTATTTGCTGAAGAAACATTTGTGCTTCTGCCTCTCGTGGACATCTTTACATTTGCACTGCTGGCCGGAGCACTCAGCAACTTCCTTCCTGGCTACTGACTTCCCCAACCTCTTTCTCTTTTGTGAGGGTCTCACTGTTGCCCTGGCTGTCCTGGAACTCTCTATGTAAAACAGGCTGAGCCCAGACCCACAGAGCTGTCTGCTGAGTGCTGGGAATAAAGACACGTACTACCTTGCCTGATTCTATACTAATTTAAAAGGACATCCCTGCCTGCTGACGGCGTGGGGAGGGGCTCCCTGAAGACAGGTGTGGGGGCACTCTTCAGGGACTCACCTGGTGGGGACAGGT